TGGGCTAGCCTGGGCCATCTAGGCCAGGGTATCCATCCAGGAAGTCAGCAGAGGGGTGTTAAAATCTTGCTTCTGAGGGGAAGACTGTACAGCCATAACACTTAAGGTTGATTGCTTTTAAGGCCCTCTCGTCATTGGAGACATTCTTTTTGTAATAAACCCCCCAACTGGATGTCTTTCTCACCTTCGTCCTTATTCTGGGAATCTCTGCAAAAGACGATTTTATGGGCATATGAGCTCCGGTGGCGCAAGTGGTTAAGACGCTGAACTGCAGGCTGTGGAAGGTCAGTAGTTCAGCAGTTCGAGACCCGAGTGTGCCGCATGACGGAGTGAGCTCCCCTCTCTAGTTCCAGCTCCTGCCAACCTAGCCGTCCGAAAGCAAGAAATTGCAAGTAGATAAATAGGTACCACTTCGGTGGGAAGGGAACAGCGTTCCGTGCGCCTTGGTGTGTAGTCATGCTGGCCACATGACCACAGAAACGTCTTCGGACAGCGCTGGCTCTTCGGCTTGGAAACGGAGATGAGCAGCGCAACCCTAGAGTCGGATTCGACTGGCTTTCGAGCAAGGGAACCTTTCCCTTTCCCTTATACTATAAGCATACAGCTGTTTTGAAGAGAGATCAAGATGGGTAGCCGTGTTAGTCTGTATGTAGAACTGGAAAAGAGCAAGAGTCCAGTAGCACCTTTGAGACTAACAAAATATGTGGCAGGGAACGAGCTTTCACGAGTCACTGCTTCACTTCTTCAGATACCTGAAGAATATCTGAAGAAGTGACTCCCGAAAGCTCCTACCCTGCCATATATTTTGTTAGTCTTTAAGGCCCTACTGGACTCTTCTTCTTTTCTATACCTATTCTCAGGGGTCATTTCGTAGAAAAAGAGGTGCAGGAGCTCATTAGCATAACTTATTTGCATATGCCACGCCCCCTGACATCAGAAGGTGTGTCAGAAGGCAACACCCACCGCTCAGGCTCCACTGGACTGTTTTGGATTGCTAGCTATGGGGGGGGGAATGTGCAGATCTGTCCTCGCAGAGGAGGGAGAGCTTGTACCTGAATAAAAATTGGTCTTAAAGGTGCAAGTGGACGCGGGCGTTGGTGGGCCGGGGCCGCCGGGGGGGGGGGCTCTGCAACTTACCTGGCCAGCAGGAACTGATTAGCATAATAGGCCACACCCAACAGCAGAAACGCATTAGGATTGGCTACATTAAGGGTGTGTGGCCTAACATGCAAAGGAGTTCCTGCTACAAAAAAAGCCCTGGGTTTTGACCACAAACAAGGTAAACAGAATAACAAGCAAAAGGTGGGTGTGGCTGGATAGCCACACTTCTAGTAACATGGGGGGGCGGCCTAATGTGCTAATGAGCTGCCCCGTCAGGGGTGTGGCCTAATATGCGAATGCATTTCTGCTGTTGGGTGTGGCCTGTTATGCTAATGAGTTCCTGCTGGGCCTTTTCTACTAAAAAAGCCCTGATAACGAGCATAGAGAGGGAGGGGGCTCCCGAAACCACTCCAGGGGGACGCAGAGATCTGCCTGGCTCTGACATTTGGGACTCCTGCTTTCCCTGCCCCCCCAGTTGTGCCCCCCGTCTCTCCCCTTTATGCCCATGTGTCTCCCTCCCGCCAGGGCGACTGATCTTCGACAACCTGAAGAAGTCCATCGCCTACACCCTGACCAGCAACATCCCCGAGATCACCCCCTTCCTGCTGTTCATCATGGCCAACATCCCGCTGCCCCTGGGAACCATCACCATCCTCTGCATCGATTTGGGAACCGACATGGTGAGTCGTGGCCCCCACCCCCCAAGCCTCTGTATGTCCGACTCCCCTGCCCAGGTGGTTCCCCAAATCTTGTCCCCTAGATTCCGTGTTGCAGCTCATAGCAGGGAGGCCTTGGATTATTTTGGTGTCGAAGCTGGTTCCACACAAACAGATGTGGTAAAACCCGTTCTTCGGAGGGCTGCCAAATCTGTGTTGAGAAGTTCCTGGAGATTTGAGGGGTGGAATTTGGGGAGGGCAGGGTTTGGGGAAGGAAGGGATGTCAGTAGTTGTGATGCTAGTTTGTAGTGGTTAAGAACGCAGACGAATTTGGGAGAACCGGGTTCAATTCCCCACCCTTCCACATGCAGCTGCCTGTGTGACCTTGGGTCAGTCACAAGTTCTTTCAGAGCCATTCTCTCAAGCCATGCTCCCTCTAAGCTGTGGAATCTTGTGAGCAAAAATTCTACTTTGTGAGCGACTGGCATTAAAGTGGTGAGCGAGCGATTTGGCTACTGTATAAATTAGTTGGCTCTGGAGCCCTCCTTCCTGAGCGAAGACAAAAAAAAACAGTGTGAGCCGGAGGCTAAAAAACTGTGAGATAGCTCACACTAACTCAGCTTAGAGGGAACACTGCTCTCAAGGGCAGTCCTCGGGAGAGCTCTCTCAACCCCATCTACCTCACAGGGTGTCTGTTGTGGGGAGGGGAAGGGAAAGGAGATTGTAAGCTGCTCTGAGACTCTTGGGTAGTGAAGGGCAGGGTATAAATCCACTCTCCTCCCCCTCCTCCCCCTCCTCCTCCCCCTCCTCCTCCTCCTTCTTCTTCTGTGTAAAGTGCCGTCAAATCACAGCTGATGTATGCCGACCCCTTGTGGGGTTTGCAGGCAAGAGACATTCAGAGGTGGTTTGCCATTGCCTGCCTCTGTGTAGCAACCCTGGACTTTGCTGGCGGTCTGACCCTGCTTAGCTCCCAAGATCTGATGAGACTGAGGTTGCCTGGGTCACCCAGGTATCACAGCAAAGTATCTAAACAAAAAAAAAGGAACTGATAAATGATATATGTAAGTTCTGTGCTGAAAGCTACATTTAAAGTGAGTTCATTGGGAAAGATGTCTGTCTCTTTCCAATTGTCAGTTTATGCCGTTCAGAAGTTCCCATTCAGCCATTGAATTTCTGAGATGTTGCACAGGGAAAGTACTTTGGTTGCCTCGCCCACTGCAGTGAACAGAATAACATCCTTGTAGCAAACGTAAGTGAATGGCTGCCCACACACATTTTCTCAAAGCACAGGTGAACTTGTCACATCACTGGAAGATGTGGAAAAGGAAGTGTGTAGCTCCACAGTCAAAGGGAGCACAGTTTGTAAGTCCTTCACAGCATGGGCTCTCTCAAGATGCACGCAAGCAAACTGACTTGCAGCTTTTAAAAAAACTTCAAGAGCCTTGCACAGAACAACATCGGTGTTTATTGAAAAGCTGCTCTGGGGAGGGAGGAAAACAAATTTTGTATATATTTTCTTTATAGTTAACACTTCTCATATACTTTATCGATTTCCATGTTTTTATCCAATTTTCTATGTCTATATGATGTCCTATGTCCCTTGCCCATGCTACCATTGTATTATTGAATACATCCCCTTGTACACGTTCATCTAATAGGAATTTATATAACTTCTGTATCATTTTGTCACTGCCCAAATTTTGTCCAATTGTGATTTACCATCTTCAAATCCTACTTTCACATCTCTAAAGTACCTTGACTGTAATTGTGTTATTTCCCACCATGTCAGCTCGATCTTATAAAGAAATGACAACACCTCCCGTGGCTTTAGTTTATTATTCTCATCTATCAGGGTGTCATAACTTTCTCTGTCACACATCTTAATGAGGGATGATTTAAAGAACGCCTCTAGTGGCGATACCCATCTTGGAGTCCTTATATATTGTCTTTCTTTAATTCCATTCCACACCCACAACAGTGCTCCTCTTAGTATATGGTGTCTAAAGTTATAGTGTACTTTATCCTTCCCATACCACAAGTAGGTGTGCCATCCCATTTTTAAATCATGTCCTTCTAGTTTCAAATTTCTAACATTATTAAAGCAGATCCAGTCCTTAATCCAACTCAGTGCTGCTGCCTGGTAGTATAATTTCCAGTCCGGTAACCCAAATCCTTCTCTTTCTTTTCTATCCTGTAGGGTTTTCAGCTTAATTCTCGCCTTTTCGGGATACCAAATAAAATTTTTTATAATCTTATCTAATTCTATAAAAAATTGCAAATTTCTTAGAAACGGTATATTTTGGGGTAGAAATAGAAATTTAGGTAGTATGTTCATTTTAATTGTTGCTATTCTACCCATTAAGGATATCTGTATATTTTTCCAACGTTGTAAATCTGTCTTGATTTCTTCAAGTAACTTATAGTAATTTTCTTTTATAAGTGTTGTGTTTTTATTTGAAATTATTATTCCTAGATATTTAATTTTTTGTACTATTTCCATGTCTGTCAATCGCTGCAGTTATTTTATCATATTGGCTGTGTGGTTTTTCGTTATTATTTTTGTTTCCCCCCCCCGATTAATCTTTAAACCTGCTACATCTCCAAAGTCCTTAACTATTTCCAGTAAATGTGTAACTGTCTCTACAGGCTCCTCCAATATTATATTTTATATCACACACCCACTCTTTACTGCATGTAAAAAGCCTACCCTAGAGAAGGCTAGTCTAGACCTTGCTCTCCCCAGGGTTGCCAGCTCTGGGTTGGGGAACACCTGGAGATTTTGGGGGTGGAGCCTGAGGAGGGCAGGGCTCGGGAAGGGGCTTCAATGGGATAGAAGGCCATAGAGTCCACCTTCCAAAGTGGCCATTTCCTCCAGGGGAGCTGATCTCTGTCACCTGGACATGAGTTGTAAACCCAGGAGCTCTCCGGCCACCACCTGGAGTCTGGCAACCCTCACTCTCCCTCACAACTAGATTTCTCCATACAGGGTTTTCCATAGTCATGCTAGCTTTCACCTGTGATTGCCCCGGGGGAACATGTATTTCATAGAATCATGGAATCACAGAGGTGGGAGGGGCCATTGGGGCCATCTAGTCCAACCCCCAACTCCACTGGAGAAGACTCTGATGCTGGGAAAGATGGAAGGTCAAAGAAGACGGGGACGGCAAAGGATGAGATGGCTAGACAGTGTCATAGATGCAACGAACATGAAGTTGAGCAAATGTCAGAGGACAGCGGAAGACCGGAAGGCCTGGCGGGATCTGGTCCATGGGGTCGCGAAGAGTCAGACTCGACTGTGCGACTGAACAACAACAACAACAAAAGTCCAACCCCCTGCTCCATGCAGGATCAGCCTAGAGCATCCCTGACAAGCTTTTGTCCAGCCGCTGCTTAAGGACTGCCAGGGAGGGGTGGAGCTCGCCACCTCCCTAGGCAGCTGGTTCCACTATGGCTTGACTCCTATTGACAAAAAGGTTTCTCCTAATATCCAGCCGGTTACCTTCCCGCCCTTAATTTAAACCCATTCTCGCGAGTCCTCTCCTCTGCTGCCAACAGGAACATCTCCCTGCCCTCCTCTAAGGGACAGCCCTTTAAAATACTTCAAGAGAGCAATCAGGTCCCCCCTCAACTTCCTCTTCTCCAGACTGAATGTTCCCAAGTCCCTCAGCCTTTCCTCATAGGGCTTGGTTTATTTTATTTTATTTTTTATTTATTACATTTATACGCCACCCTCCCAGCCATGGCCGGCTCAGGGTGGCTTACAACAGCACAAAAAACAACAATAAATAGTATAATGATCATAAAAAACCTATAACAATTACAACATTAAAAGGTGCTAACACTAATAATCCAAATACCATTAAACAGATAACAGTTTAGCATTACATTTGGGATGGGATGGTTTCTTACAAGGGGGTGGAAAACTCTCTTGTTGAAGCTCAAAACTAATTCCATAGGTTATTTTTTGAGGTGTGTGTGGGGGGAGACAAACTGGTTGACATCTGTAGGGTAAGCCAGTGGTCAGCGTGAATGTGAAGCATGGCCTTCGGACATTTTTTACTCTCTGAGCACGGAGGCAGAGTCATGGTACCAGCTTGACAAAATGGCCGCCTCCGAGCCTCCAACTCTCTCAGTGAAGAGCGCTGACAGACATTCTGGAGGTTCTAAAAAGGTTAGCCGTCCAATAGGGCTGGAATGTTTTTAGGGGATGCACGGAATTGGTTCTCTCCTAGGGTTGCCAGACCCCAGTTGGGAGTGAGGGATCCTCCGATTTCGTGGGCTCCTTCTTGCCTCCTTCTTGAAGGGAAGCTCCGCCCCCAACTGCCATGACCCGGCACGACGTCCCCAGTGTGATGACATCACACAGAAGTGACATCATCAAGCCGGGGACATCGCATGGCGATGCTCTAGTATTTTGGGCATAGAGTTTTGCCCACGATACCAGAGCGTCACCATGCAATGTCCCCAGTGTGATTATGTCACTTCTGTGTGACATCGTCACGTCAGGGGTGTCGTGCGTGACAGCGTCACCCTGCCCGCCCACTCCCAGAAAGCTCACTCCCACCCCCGGCCAGCAAAAGCGCAGGACCTGGTAACCCTGTTTTCTCTCCAAGTTCTGAAAGTAACAATGTGATATAAATGTTTTGGGCTATTCAGACCCCCCCCCAACAAAACAAAACAAAACAGGAGATCTGGAAATGCCTTTTCTTCTAACTTGGGGGGTCCCCAACCAGAGGTCGATTCGGGGGGGATCGCAGTTCCCCTGGGTGAGGTGTGGGGAGGCGGGGCACACGATGAAGCCCCGCCCCCTGCTTCCAGCCACCCCGCTTCCAGCCCTCATTCAGCCAGGAGGAGGCAGGAGAAGAGGGAGGGTAAGTTGCTTCCTCCCCACCCCTGCCTGCCTGGGGCCAGGGAGGGCCTTGGTGGGGCTTCCTCGCACTCCTGCCGACCTTGCAGGTCCACCGTCGGGCCCCTGATGTCAGGGGGTGTGGTATATGCTAATGAGTTATGCTAATGAGTTCCCCTAGCTCTTTTTCTACAAAACGACCCCTGTCCCCAACATACAACCCGTGGGCAGCACGGCACCTTTCTGTGCACCCGTGGGTGGGGTCCGATGGGGCTTTTGCCTGGCAAGGCTTCTGACTGGCCGCTGGAGATTTAATCGGCTGTGCAGGCTTCTAAAAACACTGCTTGGACAGTGGCAGCCGACACAGCGCAAGGATCTTCACTGTGCGACTGAGGGTAAGCTGCAGCAGCCATTTCTGTGGTCGGCTCCACCTCACACGGCGGCCATTTTGTGGCGGCCATTTTCCATCCGGGCCCACCAAGCTGTGTCAGGGTTCCAAAGGCGGTCGCAGGCTCAAGAAGGCTAGGGATCCCTGTTCTTATTCTTCTCTCCCCTCTGCCTGCAGGTGCCGGCCATCTCCTTGGCTTATGAAGCAGCCGAGAGTGACATCATGAAGCGTCAGCCGCGAAACCCCAGAACCGACAAGCTGGTGAACGAGCGGCTGATCAGCATGGCCTACGGACAGATCGGTGAGGGGGAAGGCAGTGCGCCCTTTAGCCGCAGAGCTGGGGAGAGCGTGCGCCCTCAGGTCTGGGAACAGGAAGGGTGGCGATCCGAAAAGGCTGTTGTTTGAGAACTGGCTTTCAGCTCTAGAAAGACTGGGGCTTAGGTGCGTTCGAGGAGCCAAACGTTGAAAAATCACTGGGGGGAAAAGATAGAAAGACAGAATAGAGTCGCCAACTCCAGGCTGGGAAATTCTTAGAGATTTGGGGGTCGATACTGGGTAGGGTTACCAGATCCCCCTGGCTGTTGGAGGGGACGTGGGGGATAGGGTGCCAGCTTCAGTTTGGTGTAGTGGTTAGGAGCTCAAGACTCTAGCCTGGGAGAATCGGGTTTGATTCCCCACTCCTCCACATGCAGCTGCTGGTGTGACCTTGGGTCAGTCACAAGTTCTCTCAGAGCTGTTCTCTCAGGAGCAGTCCTCGAAAGAGCCCCACCTACCTCCCAGGGTGTCTGTTGTGGGGAGGTGGAGGGAAAGGAGATTGTAAGCTGCTCTGAGACTCCTTCGGGTAGTGAAGGGTGGGGTATAAATCCAACCTCTTCTGGTGTAGTTTGGTGTAGTGGTTAAGTGTGTGGACGCTAATCTGGGAGAACCGGGTTTGATTCCCCACTCCTCCACTTGCACCTGACTGGATGGCCTTGGGCAAGCTATAGTTCTGGCGCAGCTGTTCTTGAAAAAGAGCAGTTTCTGTTAGAGCTCTCTCAGCCCCACCGACCTCACAGGGTGTCTGTTGTAGGGAGGGGAAGGGAAAGGAGTTTGTAAGCCGCTCTGAGACTCCTTCGGGTAGTGAAGGGCGGGGTATAAATCCAATCTCCTCCTCCTCCTCTTCTTTAATATACCTTTCTCTAGCTTATATCAAATGCACTGTTGTTAATATTATGGCCTCATCTGATAGTCTTTTAAACAAGGTTCTGGTATAGGTGGAGTGTTAGGGTTACCAACCTCCAGGTGGAGCAGGGGTGGAGTTCTTTCAGAATTCTGACTGATCTCCAGATGTCGGAGATCAGTTCTTCTGGAGAAAATGGCAATAGCTCTGGAGAACGGGTCGTGCGTGGCGTCACAGTCCAGCCGAGTTCTCTCCCCAAACTCTCCCCTTCGCAGGGTCTGCTCCCAATTCTCCAGGAATTTCCCAACCCCATAGTTGGGAACTCTTCTCTACAGTATTATTATTTATTAGATTTCTTAATTGCCCTATTCCAGCTTGTGCCGGGCTCTGGGCGACGTACAAGGCAACGATACCATAAAATATACAAAAACATTAAAATTCGATATATAACTTAATAGAAATTGCAGTACAGAATGTAAAATCCAAGATGGCGATTTCCCTATTTTTATTTATTTATTTATACTTATATTTATACCCCGCCCACCCCGTAAACAGGCTCTGGGCGGCTTACAGAAGACGGCAAAGTATGCCGAATTAGCATAAAACCATAAAACATTAAAATAATATAAAATATTCTTAACATGACAACAGTAACATTTAAGGTGCTCGCAGTATTAACATAGTTGGCGTGAATTTCCATTCCGGCAATCTCCTGTTCTTACGGCCAGTCCCATGGTCCAGATATTAAATGGCGTAGTCCATAGTGCACCCAGATGGTATCTCTGCCAATTTTCGGCGACGGTGCATTGATGGAACAGTAGCGGCGGCGGCTCCTACTCAAAAGCCTGGCGGAAGAGCTCCGTCTTGCAGGCCCTATAAGTTTCTTTGTCCCAATTCCGGACTACTGGCCCCTTTTTCTACAGTATTGGCTGCAGCGGTGGTGAGCAGATTTGGAACCATTTCACAACCTGGCAAGACTGATTCATGGAAGATTTAAAGGCCTTTCTCTAAGTCCGACAAACTCAAGGCACGGTTTTTCTCTCAAGGCTCATGGGATGCTTGATTCTGTGCCAGATACCCGAATCCATGTTTTTGGTACAATGTAACTTGGGGGGGGGGGAGAATCCAGTCTTGATTGCTTTTGGCGAGTGAGCATCACATCTGGAAAATTAGTGATGGAAGCTTCACAACAAATAGAGTTGGAAGGGGCCATAGAGGCCATCTAGTCCAACCCCCCGCTCAATGCAGGATCAGCCTAGAGCAGTGGTGGTGAACCTATGGCACGGGTGCCAGAGGTGGCACTCAGAGCCCTCTCTGTGGGCACGCGTGCCATCGCCCCAGCCAGGCCCAGACCATCATTAAAGTGTCGAATTCTCTGCCAAATAATTTTAAGTAAATGAAAGCATTTGGGATTGCTTTCCTTACTTTGTTTGGATCGTCTTAAGTTAATGTATGAGGGGTTTTGTCTAAAGTAAAACCTCAGTATTCAGGTTAAATTGCCGTGTTGGCACTTTGCCATAAATAAGTGGGTTTTTGGTCGCAGTTTGGGCACTCGGTCTCTAAAAGGTTCGCCATCACTGGCCTAGAGCATCCCTGACAAGGGTTTGTCCAGCCGCTGCTTCAAGACTGCCAGGGAGGGGGAGCTCACCACCTCCCTAGGCAGCCGATTCCACTGCTGCACAACTCTTATTGTAGAAAAGGTTTTCCTAATATTCAGCTGGTACCTTCCTGCCCTTAAAGTAAACCCATGGTTGCGAGTCCTCTCCTCTGTTGCCCACAGGAACAGCTCCCTGCCCTCCTCTAAGTGGCAGCCCTTCAAAGGCTCAAAGTGAGCAATTGTGTCCCCCCTCAACCTCCTCTTCTCCAGACTGAACATTCCCAAGTCCCTCCGCCTTTCCTCGCAGGGCCTCTTGGTCTCCAGGCCCTCCCGATCATCTTCGTCGCTCTCTTCTGCACTTGTTCCATTCCGCATCCTTTTTGAAGTGAGGCCTCCAGGACTGCACACAGTGCTCCAGGTGTAGCCTGACCAATGCAGCATACAGCGGGACCATGACATCTTGCAATTTGGATGTGACGCCTCTGTTGATAACACCCCAGAACCACATTAGCCTTTTTTTGCTTCTGCATCACACTGACTGCTCATATTTAGCTTACAGTCCACTTGTACCATAAGATCTCGTTCACACACACTGCTACCCAGAAGTGTGTCCCTCTTCCAGTATGCATACTTCTCATTTTTTTGTTACCCAGATGTAGTTCCTTTAGGCCATAGTTCCTTCAGGCCATATGCCAGCAATCCTGAGAAACATGTTCCTGGGTAAGCCCTGTTGAATAAAATGGGCCTTATGTCTGAGCAGACTTGCTTTGGGTTATACCCCAACAGTATACTCCAGAGTTATTGCTTTAGACTGGAAGAAAGTTTGAGTCCAGTGGCACCTTTAAGACCGACAAAGTTGTCCACTTCTCTAATGATCCACTTCTCTAATATGACGTGGTAGAGAAGTATTTTTGGTATTACGTCTGTGCATCTTTTTTGCTCAATATCTTACTTATCACAAGGTGGTACCATACCGACGTGTTCTTGCTTTGTATGTATGTTGTAATAAACTCAATAAAATTAAACAGAAAAGACCAACAAAGGTCTCAGTCACACGGGCTGGAAAAGGCGGGGGGGGCATGGCTGTTTTCCCCGGAGCAAAGTAACGCGCAGCAGCCCGATCACATGTCCCGTGGAGGTCCCGTGGGTATGCCATTAGGTTCCGATCACACGGCTATCCTGCAGCATGGCAAAGAAGTGGCGCGGTGCGATCACACTGGCAATCGCTAGGCGCCGCTTCCGTGGCAAACAGGATTCCCCCCCCTCACCACAGTGTGTGCATGTGCTGGTGGGCATTTGTGCGCATCCTGTGGAGACTTAAAAAAAATCTGGTTTGCGACGGGACATGGGTGGGCACCGGATGTAATGGGATTCCAGCGGAAACGCAATCAGACGCCCGCCCTTGCCCCGCGTTTTTGTATGTACTAGTTTTTTACTCTGTATCTTCGGCAAGAAGCCACGGGTTAGCCACGGGTGCACTACACTTCCCAGATGTTGCAGGTGTGATTGCGCCCGGAAAATCCACCTATCATCCGTATCTTTAGCGCGGCAAATGCTCCGCGTGAACGGGGTCTATGTTTAACTCTGGGTATAAGCTTTCATGTGCACGCACACTTCTCCAGATTCTTCATGCGTGCTCACGAAAGCTTATACCGAGAAGTAAACTTTGGCCCCTGCCACACGGGGGGGGGGGAAGCACGGGGAATGTGCGGCTGTTTAAAAGCCGCACCAAAAGAAACACGCGGTGGCGGGATCCCATAAATTCCCTGAGCAGCCATGCATTTCCTCCCTGGTCAGATGCCGGGGGAAGCCACGGAACAGAGAGGGAGGCTGCCAAACTGCGCATGTGTGAGCATGCGCAGTTCGGCCAGGAGACTTGGATGCGCCGGCAGAAGGACGCGTTGGCGATCCCACGGCCGTGCTTGATGCGGCCTTTCTGGTAAGTCCACCTCTGTAGGTGGTTTATTTTAACTGCGGATCGGGGACGGGTGCGCAATGCTTCCCAAATGTTGCGGTGGGATCGCGCCCGTTTGCTGCACCCCCGATCTGGCCCTCTTCCGGCCCTAAACCTCCCGTGTGACCGGGGCCATTGTTGGTCTCAAAGATGCCACTGGATGCAAACTTTGTTCTGTTGCTTCAGATCAACACGGCGACCCATCTGAATCAGCTTTAGACTGGAGTAATTAGGGGCCATGGTGGCTCAGAGGTTAAGATGCTGAGCTGCAGACCGGAAGGTCTATAGTTTGGCAGTTCGAGACCCGAGTGCCCCCAGCTCCTGCCAACCTAGCAGTTCGAAAGCAAGAAATTGCAAGTAGATAAATAGGTACCACTTCGGTGGGAATAGGTACCACTTCGGTGGGAATAGGTTCCCACTTCGGTGGGAATACGTACCACTTCGGTAGGAATAGGTACCACTTTGGCGTTCCGTGCGTCTCAGCATTTAGTCATGCCGGCCACATGACCACGGAAACGTCTTCGGTCAGCGCTGGCTCTTCGGCTTGGAAACACAGATGGGCACCGCCCCCTAGTGTCAGATTCGACTAGCTTTCGAGCAAGGGAAACCTTTACTTTACCTTAATTCTGCACAGGATTGCATTGTGTACCAAAAGAGAATAAACCGTGATAACCTGACTAATCAACAATTCTTGCAAATCCGTTTTATATTTAAATGAACAGCGCATTACATATAACAGTGAAAAACTATTATTTGAGTTGCGCAGAAAAGTTACAGTCTTTGTTCCCAAAGCCTTTGAAAGCATCGAGGACAGCAACTCAGTCCTTACGTGCAGAGAGTCCATCAAACGGGAAGTGTCTTCTTAGTCGAAGAGAACATTTCACACCTCATTAAGAGTATCCTAATTAAAGGAACATCAAGCCCTGCCGACAGGAAGCCGGCTTTCGTGATTCAAAGATTCCCCCCCCCCAAGCAGGCAAAAGCTGTGTTTCAAAGGTTTTTTCAAAGCAGGATACATATTTTGCAAGTTAATAGCCGCCGTTTAAAGATGAGAACTTGCTCCGATACAGTGCCCTTCCCGGGAGGTTTTTTGTAGATTTACTGGAAAGGCAAAGCCATGGCATGTATGCTGTGGGAGCGTTGGCAGTGTTAGGAGGGTAGAGCTGAGAGAGAGAGAGAGAGAGAGAGAGCAATTATCAGAGGTCGATTCGGGGGGGATCGCAGTTCCCCCGGGTGAGGTGCAGGGGGGCGGGGCACACAACGAAGCCCCACCCCCTGCTTCCGGCTGCCCCGCTTCCAGCCCTCATTCAGCCAGGAGGAGGCAGGAGAAGAGGGAGGGTAAGTTGCTTCCTCCCCGCCTCACCCCACCCCTGCCTGCCTGGGGCCAGGGAGGGCCTTGGCGGGGCTTCCTCGCACTCCCGCCGGCCTTGCAGGTCCACCACCAGGCCCCTGATGTCAGGGGGTGTGGCATATGCTAATGAGTTATGCTAATGAGTTCCCCTAGCTCTTTTTCTATGAAACGACCCCTGGAAATTCTGGTTGCCAACCTCCAGACTGGCACCTGGACTTCTCCCAGAATCACAACTGATCCCCAGCCTGCAGAGATCCCCTGGAGAAAATGGATGCTTTGGAGGGTGGGCTCTGTGGCATCACACCCCTGCTGAGCTCAATCCCCGAATGCCAACTCTCTCCGGGCTCCGCTCCTAAATCTCCAGGAATTCCCAATCGAGAACTGGCAGCCCTCGTTGTGATGGAAGGGCATGGAGAAACGGGTGTCCCCCAATTCAAACACTGTTTTGCAGGAATGATTCAAGCACTGGGAGGTTTCTTCTCCTACTTTGTGATCCTGGCCGAGAACGGGTTTCTTCCATCCGTGCTGGTTGGCATCCGTCTGAACTGGGACGACCGGACATGCAATGACCTGGAGGATTCCTATGGGCAGCAGTGGGTAAGAACACACACAGAGAGACTGTCCCTGTTGCGTAGTAGCGTAAGGCTGGCTATTCAGTGAAACTGACAGATACTGAAATATCGTTCAGGTAGCCCTGTTAGTCTCTCGGAGCAAAATAAAACTTCTGAACTTCTACAGTGGCACCTTTAAGATTAACAACATTTATCACAGTAGAAGCGTTCGTATCATTTCTGTAACTTTCTGCCTCCGTGATGAGGTAAAAGAGTTTCTCTCCCCCCATTGTATCTGAGGAAGTGAGCTCTGTTTCATGCAAACTCATCACTGGCATGCACATTGTTAGTCGTTGCGGTTAGTTGTTTGGTTAAATGTTGAAATAGAAACTGAGAGCCCAACTTGTTAGGAGCTGTTGAGGAAGACCTGATGAAAATGGGGACCGTGAACAGTTTTTGGTCTGGTGCCAAACATAGGGTTAATGTTAAGGAAACAGTTGTGAGAGTCTGACCCACAGATCAGGCAGTCAACAAGACTTGCAAAGAAAATGTTTTCTGTATATTATGGTCAACAAGCACTACAACACAATGAACAAATTCCTTCAAACCATAAGAAAATCCTCGTGTGAAAATACATCGTCGTCTATTAGAGTAGTACAAAAGCTCTCAAAAACGAGAAGTATTCAGGATCCATCAGAAGCTTAGCAGCATATTTGAGCCTGAATACTTATTGAGATCAGTGTCCTATCTAAATGTGTTACCTTTCCTGATGTTTTGTAAAGCACTTTATGAGCATGAGAGCTTTTGTACTACTCTAATATTTCCTGGGGAAGATCCCATTTTGAAACGTTGTTATATAATCCAAATGGAGCTGCAGTGGCTCAAGCGGTTAAGACGCTGAACTGCAGGCTGTGGAAGGTCGGTAGTTCAGCAGTTCGAGACCCGAGTGCGCCGCGTGACGGAGTGAGCTCCCCTCTCTAGTTCCAGCTCCTGCCAACCTAGTAGTTCAAGTAGATAAATAGGTACCACTTCAGTGGGAACAGCGTTCCGTGCGCCTCGGTGTTTAGTCATGCCGGCCACATGACCATGGAAAGGTCTTCGGAGAGCGCTGGCTCTTCGGCTTTGAAACGGAGATGAGCACCGCAACCCGAGAGTCGGACTCGACTGGCTTTCGAGCAAGGGAAACCTTTACCTTTTACCTATATAATCTGGAGACGACGACGATGTATTTGTACACAAGGATTTTCTTATGATTTGAAGGAATTTGTTCATTGTGTTGGAGTGCTTGTTGACCATAATATACAGAAAGCATTTTCTTTGCAAGTCTCATTGATTGCCTGATTTGTGGGTCAGACTCTCACGACTGTTTTCTTAACATTTGTTCTTTGACCAGGTCGCGGTTGTCCACATTTGTCCCGCCAAACATACGGTTGGGGCCAGGTTGGATCAACGTGACAGTGTGACAGAGACTTTCCGGGAGTGGGGACAGTGCGCGTGACGTAATGATGTCACACCGAAGCGATGTCATCACGTTGGGGACATCGCGTGGCGAGGCTCTGGTTTTGGGGGGGAAACTCTAGGGTAAAAATCGCCCTCAAACCATAAAGTTTTACCCAAGAACCAGAGCGTCGCTGTGCAACATCACCACCATGAGGATGTCACTTCTGTATGATGTCTTTACATCGCGTCTGGGGGTGGGATTTTCCCCTCCCGGCCAGCTGGCTGGCAGCAGGGAGGAGCCTGAAAAATCGGGGTATTCCCCCACCCCCAACTGGGGAATGGTATCCCGAGCTAAACACGGATATGCCGCAACTGAAACTTTTAACCATAACTGGTGACAGTACATTCCATTTCCGGTTTCCCAGTGTTGTATTTTGCTGAGTACCGAGATGCAGTATTGAAAAACAGAGAGTGCTTTATTTTGTTGGTTGGTTTTTTTTGCTCACGGCACCGTAGAGTGCCTGAGGTTGGCCTTAGGGCAGGGGTCCCCAAAGCGGGGCCCAGGGGCACCACGCCAACCGCTGACACCTTTCCTGGCTTTTAGAAAGTAGTTGAGGCCACGTGGGGCTTTTGCCCGCAAGGCTTTTGGTTGGATATGCAGATTTTTAAAAACCCATTTATTTGGCAGCAGCTGCCACCAGAGCACGCAAATCTTCAGTGCGTGACTGAAGGGAAGCTGTGGCAGCCATTTGTGTGACTGGCTGCACCTCCTGCAGCAGCCATTTTGGGGCTGCGCCCACCATGCTGTGCAGGGCTATTTTTGGGGCAGGAACGCACAGGAACGGAGTTCCGGCTGGCTCCCGAGTTGCCCACGCCAAGCAGGAACTCATTAGCATAACAGGCCACACCCAACAGCAGAAACTCATTAGGATTGGCTACATTAGGGGTGTGTGGCCTAGTTCCTGCTCCAAAAAAAGCCCTGGGTTTTGACAACAAACAAGGTAAACAGAATAAGAAGCAAACGGTGGGTGTGGCTGGATGACCACACTTCTGGTAACACGGGAGTGTGGCCTAATATGCTAATGAGCTGCTCTGTCAGGGGTGTGGCCTAATATGCTAATACGTTTCTGCTGTTGGGTGTGGCCTATTATGCTAATGAGTTCCTGCTGGGCTTTTAATACAAAAAAAGCCTGTGTCAGAATTGCAAAGGTGCCCATAGGCCAGGCCCATTGCTATGGTGGGGCTTTTGAGGGCTCCGCCCCCTTTTTTAAAGGCACAGCCCCACAAGAATTTCTCCTGTAAATGCTTTCCCCCATCATTTAAAAACATTTCTTAAAGGTGTGCGCTCCTTTAAGCAGAGTGGGGTGCTGTCATTGACTAATTCCTGAACTGAGCAAGGGGGTTGGAGCAGGTGACCTCTAGGATCCCTTCTAACTCTGTGTCAAGGGAGTTGGAGTAGGTGACTTCTAGGACCTCTTCTGATTCTATGTCAAGAAACTGATTTCCTTTAAGAGTCGTTTTTCTGCGTAAGTATTAGGTTTCTTGACTATAGAAGTGAACACCCCCACCTGCCGGCTTGTGATCAGAGTTGTTGCTTAGGCTGGCAGAAGTGATTAAGTTGCAGCAGCTGAGAACTGTCATCTAAAGAGAGCCAGCTTGGTGTCGTGGTTGAGTGCGCGGACTCTAATCTGGGAGAGCCGGGTTTGATTCCCCACTCCTCCACTTGCACCTGGCTGGATGGCCTTGGGCAAGCCGTAGTTCTGAGAAGAGCTGTCCTTGAAAAAGAGCCGTTTCTGTCAAGAGCTCTCTCAGCCCCACCCACCTCACAGGGTGTCTGTTGTGGGGAGGGGAAGGGGAAGGAGATTGTAAGCCGCTCTGAGACACCTTTGGGTAGTGAAGGGCGGGGTATAAATCCAATCTCTTCTTCTTCTTTTACCTCACAGGGTGTCTGTTGTGGGGAGGGGGAGGGAAAGGAGTCTGTCAGCCGCTCTGAGACACCTTTGGGTAGTGAAGGGCGGGGTATAAATGCAATCTCTTCTTCTTCTAAAGTGGCTGGCAGCTTGCAATTCAGAGGTCTATCCTGGGAACAGCTTTCTTTCGGCTCAGTGGTTGACAGGCGAAGGGCGGTTGCTAGCATAAAGAACACCGATGTAGAATCGACAGCTTGAGGAGACTCAGAGAGAGAAGTGTGGCTGAGTCATAACCCTCAGAATGCCGGCTTTTCCTTCTGCACTGAGAACCTCAGCCCCACCGGGAAAAACGATTGCCCCACGAGCCACAAAATCCTGACTGCGGGCCTGCCACAAGCTAAAAAAAGTTGGGAACCCCTGCCTTAGGAGAAGAAGGCCAAGAGCCAGGGTGGCCCAGAGATGTGCTGGACTTAGACTCGAGAGAGAACTGGCTTCAAATCCTGCTTGAACTCACTGGGAGGTCTTTGGTAACAGTCAGAGGTCATTTCGGGGGGGATCGCGGGGGATCGCAGTTCCCCTGGGTGAGGTGCGGGGGGCGGGGCACATGACGAAGCCCCGCCCCCTGCTTCCGGCCGCCCCGCTTCCGGCCCTCATTCAGCCAGGAGGAGGCAGGAGAAGAGGGAGGGTAAGTTGCTTCCTCCCCGCCTCTCCCCACCCCTGCCTGCCTGGGGCCAGGGAGGGCCTTGGCGGGGCTTCCTCACACTCCCGCCGGCCTTGCAGGTCCACCGCCGGGCCCCTGATGTCAGGGGGTGTGGAATATGCTAATGAGTTATGCTAATGAGTCCCCCTAGCTCTTTTTCTACGAAACGACCCCTGATAACTCTGCCTCTCTTTCAGGCTCAGTTCTTCTTCTGTGAAATGGGAATAATAAGAGAGAGCTCCTTAGCAGAGCTCTGAGGTCATCTTGCCGCAGCATTTAGCAATCAGTTATATGGGTAATTATTCAAAATCAGAACAGTTGGCATTACCCTCTCTTAAGAGAAAAGGAAACCCAGGTGCATGACGCTGGGAAAGCCATTCTTTCTTATGCTGGTTGCTGTGGTTATCTGTACTCAAGTCCCAACTGCAGAATCCATTATGGATCCATTCCACAATCTTTGCCAGGGTTCTAAAAAACCTTGAATTAAATGTGGACGCGCCTGTAGCTACACTGGCGCTTTGGTAGGGCTCCGCCCCCTTTCTTAAAGGCACAGCCTGCAAGAATTTCTCCTGTAAATGCTTTTTCCCATCATTTAAAAACATTTTTAAAGGTGTGTGCTCCTTTAAGAAGAGTGGGGCGCTGTCGTTGACTGATTCCTGCAACTGTGAGGGAGAGGGGCAGCTGCCAGCCGCACGCCTTCCCTGAACTCCAAGTGGCTTTTTCGCCGCTTGAGGATCAGGCGTGGGCAGCCCCTTTAAATGCTGTTTTTCTAGCGGGGGCTGCCCGCACCCGATCTCCAAGCGGCGAAAAAGCCACTTGGAGTTCAGGGAAGGCATGTGGCCGGCAGCTGCCCCTCTGCCTCACCTCCTGCAAGATTTAAAGGGCCCACCGATCAGCTGGAGGGCCCTTTAAATCTCGGAGGAGGGGAGGGAGAGAGGCAACTGCAAGATTTAAAGGGCCCTCCAGCTGATCGGCGGGCCACATGCTCCCATCGATCAGCTGGAGGGCCCTTTTAATGTCAAGGGAGGGGGAGGGGGCACCAGCTTTTGTGGGGTGTGCCTCACATTTGAGGGGGCGAAGCCCTGAAATGCCCCACCGTCGCTACGGGCCTGGATCAAAATGGCCGGGGAGGGACGCCTTAGGATATATAACCACTCATGGAAACTCATGGCTGGGGCCTGAGGGTCAGAGAGACAGGGATATTTTTTTGGTCCTCCGGATATTGATCCTGTCCTCCTCTGCCTCCCTCTAGACCTACGAGCAGCGCAAAGTCGTGGAATTCACCTGCCACACGGCTTTCTTCGTCAGCATCGTGGTGGTGCAGTGGGCCGACCTGATCATCTGCAAAACCAGAAGGAATTCAGTCTTCCAGCAGGGCATGAGGTCAGACCGCCGGGGATTTAACGATGCATACCAACCGATTGCTGTGGGACAGCGCGAGAGTCCAGCAGCACCTTAAAGACTAACAAAATAGGTGGCAGGGGAGGTGCGTTCGTGAGTCGCTGCTCCCTTCTTCAGTAGTGAGCAGTGACTCAAGAAACTCCTCCCCTGCCACCAGTTTTGTTACGTTTTACAGTGCCAAATGAGAAGGGAGCACTCACTGGAGAAGACCCTGATGCTGGGAAAGATTGAAGGTCAAAGAAGACGGGGACGGCAAAGGATGAGATGGTTAGACAGTGTCATCGATGCAACGAACATGAAATTGAGCAGACTTCAGAGGACGGCGGAGGGCAGGAGGGCCTGGCGTGATCTGGTCCATGGGGTCGCGAAGAGTCGGACTCGACTGTGCGACTGAACAACAACAACAGTGCTCCTTGAGTTTTGCTTTTTTTCTACCGCTGCAGACAGACTAACATGGCTACCCGCCTCGATCTACAACCATAGCCGTTCTGCAACCCTGAAAATGGATTACGGAATGGCCAAAGGAGGAATAAAGCATATCAGACGGTTGGCAGGTGCCCTCTCTGTTCCCTCTAAGCTGAGTTAGTGTGAGCCAGCTCATAGTTTTCTAGCCTCCGGCTCACACGTTTTTGTCTTGGCCCAGGAAGGACGGCTCCAGAGCCGATTAACTGATGCAGCGGCCAAATCGCCCGCTCACAACTTTAATGCCACTCAGCTCACAAAAGTAGAATTTCTGCTCACCGGGCTCCACAGCGTTAGAGGAGCCTTCTGCCCGTCAAATGTTTCGGGAAAGTGGGCGGGGCCAGGTAGGGCTTTTGCCCAGTGAGGCTTCTGTTTGGCTGCTGGAGATCTGATTTGCTGTGGCAGCCCTTTTGTCGTTCGCTCCGCCTCTTGCAGCAGCCGTGTTGTAGCAGTTGTTTTGTTCCTGCTCCCACTGTGCTGTGTCAGAATTCCAGAGGTACCAACATGCTGGGAAAAATTGGGGACCCCTGCCATAAAGGGTAGAGTTGTGACATTTCCAGTGCGATCCTAAGCAGAGTTATTGTTGTTGTTCAGTCGCGCAGTCAGGTCCGACTCTTCGCGACCCCACGGACCACATCACGCCAGGCCCTCCTGTCCTCGGCCGTCCTCCGGAGTTTTCTCAATTTCATGTTCGTTGCATCGATAACACTGTCTAACCATCTCATCCTTGGCGTCCCCTTCTTCTATTAACCTCCAATGTTTCCCAGCATCGGGGTCTTCTCCAGTGAGTGCTCCCTTCTCATTGGGTGGCCAAAGTATTTGAGCTTCAGCTTCAGTATCTGGCCTTCCAGGGAACAGTCAGGGTTGATTTCCTTTAGGATTGACTGATTTGATCTCCTTGCAGTCCAAGGGACTCTCAAGAGTCTTCTCCAGCAGAGTTTAGCACCCTCTGGAAGGGTGATAATTCCGCTTTGGAATGCATTAGGAATTGATCAGTTCCCCCCGAAAATATTGAAAACGGTGGCCCTGATTAGAAGTCCTGTCTCCGAAGATCAAGGGATTCCTACCCCTTAAGTACGGCCTGTGGGCCATTCCACACAACACGAGCGTGCTTCCAGGTGTACCTTTGGCAGAGTCGTGGAGCCCCGTCCCGTACGGCATGCCCAGCACGATGACATCACCCGGCGGTGACGTCATTGCGCTGGGCACGCTCTAGCATTTGGTCACCGTAGCGTTTTTTTGCCCAAGTGCCAGAGCGTCCTGCCCAACGTGCCGAGCCGATGGCGTCACCTCCAGGTGACACTTATTGTGCCGAGCACGTAGGGCGGGAGGGGGCTCTTCAGGGGGAGGGACTCCCAGAGGACTCCCGGGGGAAGACTGGACCCATCCCGCCAGCAGCTAGGTAAGACCTGGCAACCCTACCACACCTGTATCACGTGTGCATTCTCAGCACCCTGTTTGTCTCACTCAGATGCTAGGTCTTTACGTGCACGCCTAAAAAAGCAAAGGCAAATATCGGAAGTTACCTGAAGCAAAGCCCCTTCCTACTTCGCAGAACAGCTGATCTCCCCCAATCCCCATTTCCCTTGGTGAATGTCTTAAGAGATGAGGCGTCTCTCTCTCTCTCTCTCTTGAGATTGTACAATAGATGCGCCGGGCCACTGTGACAGGCTGTGGGCCGTTGGCACCTGACGCTCTCCTGCTATTGTAGTTGATCTCAAGATGACCAAGATCCGTTCCCCTGGAGGAAATGGCTGCTTTTTGAAGATGGATTCCGTGGCATTGTGCTCTGCTGAGGCCCCTCCCCCTCCCCTAACCCCGCCCTCCCCAGGCTCTGCCCCCCAGATCTCCGGGTATTTCCGCTCCCAGGGCTGGCAAGCCCTACTTGGTAGCGACCAGGGGTCATTTCCTGCAGGAGCGCACAGGAGTGGAGCTCCGGCAGTAAAGAGCCCAGGGGGCGGGCACATGCAACAAGCCCCGCCCCCTGCTCCCAGCAGCCCCGGGCCACGAGGAGCAAGAAGCAGCCAGGTAAGTTGCAATGGGTGTTGCCTTCTGACACACTTCCGGTGATGTCAGGGGGTGTGGAATATGCAAATATGTTATGCTAATGAGTTATGCTAATGAGATCGTGCACCTCTTTTTCTACAAAATGACCCCTGGTAGCGACACACGTTTCCCCTTCGTGTTTTGACACGTTCCCTCAGCGCAGAAATGGGGCTTAGCATCAGAAGACGGGGGGTGGCTGTGGAAATCTGTAAAGCCCAGGAGAGGTGCGTAAGGCATGAAGGAGACCTGTGGGGATTTGGGGTCCCACTCTTTCTCTCTCTCTCTCTCTCTCCCCCCTCAGGAACAAGATCCTTATTTTTGGTCTCTTTGAGGAGACTGCCCTGGCGGCTTTCCTGTCGTATTGTCCCGGAATGGACGTGGCGTTGCGAATGTATCCCCTGAAGTGAGTCGGGGTCCAAGGCCTGCCTTCTCAAACGGGGGACGGAGGAGGGCTCTCCGTCTTGGCAAGCCACGTTTCCGGAGGGATTCTGGCCTCAGTCTCTGGAAGGCCCATCCCACCCTCTGCTCCCTCCCCGCTCATCTCCTTTCCTTCTCTCCTCAGGCCTAGTTGGTGGTTCTGCGCCTTCCCGTACAGCTTCCTCATCTTCGTGTACGACGAAATCCGTAAACTCATACTGCGCCGTAACCCAGGAGGTGAGTGGGTTGTGAAGAGGCATGGGTGTGCATGCGCGTGCATGCACAGGAATTGGGCAGGTACGACACGATCTTCGGGAGGGAGTCTTAATGAAGAGTCGGGAGCTGTCCAGGGCTGTATCCGTGCGTTGTTGCATATTGCGCTGTTGTCTCTCTATAGCAGTCATTCAGATGTGGATTCTCCCAGGAGGGCAAGGTGCCACCTGTTTGCAAACGATTGCTATTGTGCATCTGTTTGGAAACGATTGCCACTGCGCATCTGTGTGCAAACGATCGCTACTGCGCATCTGTGTGCAAACGATTGCTATTGCACATCTGTTTACAAATGATCCCTATTGCACATCTATTTGCAAGTATTTCCTATTGCTCATCTGTCTGCAAACGATTGCTATTGTGTGGCTAGGGTGCAATATCCAACAATGTGTGGGTGGACTAGAACTCTGACCCAAGAAGAAAGGACATTCCCCTGCCCTCCACAGATGTTCAAGAGGCCACTGCTATTGCTTTCCCACAATCCAGACTAGCACAAAACCACAAATATGGCTCAGCCGTCTATTTAGAGTTCATAGAACCGTAGAGTTGGAAGGGACCTCCAGGTTCATCTAGTTCAACCCCCTGCACAATACAGGAAATTCACAAATACCTCCCCCCCACACACACACCCAGTGACCCCTGCTCCATGCCCAGAAGGTGACAAAAAACCTCCAGATCTCCAGCCAAACTGACCCCAAAGTGGCAACCAGCATTTCCCTGGGCGTGTAAGAAAGGGCCACGAGAACTAAGCACTGAGGCAACCCTCCCTTCTCGTGATCTGCCTGAGTTTACAGAATCACCGGTTCTGTGTTATTAAAATGGGGAGTGAAGGCAGCACAGTCTAGCCCGGTCTCATCAGATCTCGGAAGCTAAGCAGGGTCGGTACTTTGAAGGGAGACCGCCAAGGAAGACCCTGCAGAGGAAGGCGATGGCCGACCACCTCTGCTTCTCACTCGTTTCGAAAGCCCCTCGCCGGGCCGCCCTATGTCGGTCGCGACGTGATGGCCCCTCCGTCCATGATTAAAACGAACTTAAATTTAATTTCCCAAATGTATCTAATCGATTGCCGCTCGCCGAGCTCAAGGGAAGGGCCAAATGTGGAGATCGGCCATAAAGAAAAGTCGATAGTCACTCAGTAGTCCGGCCCCCGACCTTTAACCTAAGCCAGTGGTGGCGAACCTACGGCACGGGTGCCAGAGGTGGCACTCAGAGCCCTCTCTGTGGGCACGCGTGCCATCGCCCCAGCCAGGCCCAGACCATCATTAAAGTGTCAAATTCTCTGCCAAATAATTTTAAGTAAATGAAAGCATTTGGGATTGCTTTCCTTACTTTGTTTGGATCATCTTAAGTTAATGTATGAGTTTTTTCTAAAGTAAAACCTCAGTATTCCGGTTAAATTGCCACGTTGGCACTTTGTGATAAATAAGTGGGTTTTGGGTCGCAGTTTGGGCACTCGGTCTCTAAAAGGTTCGCCATCACTGGCCTAAGCCCTTGTCCCAAGCGCTCTCTGCACTCTACCTCCCCAGGTAGGCCTTTAACTACTCATAAAATAAAGACCGCCCCGATCTGGATGGCCTGGGCTAGACTGATCTCGTCCGGTCTTGGAAGCTAAGCAGGTTCGGGCCTGGTTAGTATTCGGATGGGAGGCCAGTCCAGTGTTCCCTCTAAGCTGAGTTAGTGTGAGCCAGCTCACGGTTCTTTAGCCTCCGGCTCACACACTTGTGTCTCCGCTCAGGAAGGGTGGCTCCAGGGCAAACCGGTTTACGCAGCAGCCCAATCGCCCACTCTCAACTTTAACGCCAGTTGCTCAGAAAGTAGAATTCTTGTTCGCAAGACTCCACAGCTTAGAGGGAGCCTTGGGGGCCACTGAGGAAGTCCAGGGTCCTGAGGCAGAGGCGGGCAATGGCTTAGCCACCTCTGAACGCCTCTTGCCCTGAGAGCCCTACGGGGCCCCCGTAAATCAGCTATGACTCGACGGCGCTTCTCACCACCGCCACCAAATTGAGGAACACTTCCTAGCTGTCCTGCGGATCAGAGGACACCCCGTTCTGCCCAAAACTCTTTTCCCGTTAGTGCCACGCTCGAAAATCTTTTTCCGTTAACGCCACGCCCGAAAATCTTTTCCCATTAGTGCCCGAAAATCTTTTCCCGTTAGTGCCACGCCCGAAAATCTTTTCCCGTTAGTGCCACGCCCGAAAATCATTTCCCGCTAGCGCCAATGTCATGGGAGAATCGCAAACAGGAACATACAGTATGAACGAGGGAAGATCCATGTTTAGGTCTGAACCTGAGGTGTCCGGAAACTATTTGAGTGGTGGCACAAGGGGTAGAGGGGAGGCGGGTGGAATGGGCGTTTGTGAAAACGGGGGTGGGTGGGTGGCTGGTGTAGAAATGGGCTCGGCCCTAACCCTCTCCCCCCCCGCCGGTTTCTCTCTTGCAGGATGGGTGGAGAAGGAAACCTACTATTGAGCCTCTTCCTTGGTCCATTGCTGGTGTCTCCCCTGCAAGGGGGTGGGCACTCCCCCGTCCAAAATCCCCCCTCCCTTTCCGAACACGAGAGTGTGGCTGGGACCGTCTTCTCGGACGCAGAAACAACAAACCGGTTCCCCGTTCCCAAACCCCTGCTCCCCCCCCCCAACATTTGGGTGGCTGAGATAAACAATTAGTCTCTGTCTCATCCTGCCTGCATGTCCCCGGCCGGAGGCGAGGGGGAGGGAAACCCCTCCAGGTCCCCTCCCTCGGCTCTCTGCCCTCTTCTTTGTTTTCTTTTGGGGGGGGGAATGCGGGGAGAGGGTCATGTGTGCCACAGACAAATGGATTTACCTCTGCAAAATACTCCTTTAGGAGCTTCCCCCCCCCATACCTTTAAAATCCCTTTCCCTAGCTGGAATCGAACCTGGGACCAGTGGGGGCCGAGAGGGGGGGGGGGAATTATGCCTCGGATATGTGAAGCCAAATGTGACAGGGTTACTGTTAATCCGGTTAGCAGAAGTAGAGACTTTTGACCCCACCCAGCCCACCCCACCTTGGAGGGGGGACCTCCCCCTCCCCATTCTCCTTGTTCCCCTTAAGGGGGGGGGAGAGGGTGTTTGAATGTGGGAGTGTGTGTGGGGGGAACGGAGGCTGGACATGGGTGAGCCCCCTCCCCCACTGTCCAACGAAACTTCCCCGGCCTGCCCCCCCCTTCTCGCAGTTTTCTGGAACGTGTCTCGTGCTGGGTGCTGAGCACAATGTGGTATGTGTGTGTGTATGGGGGGGGGGGAACCCAGCGAGGACAAAAGCACCGGGATCCCACGCGCCTCCCCTCCCCCTCGACTCTGACTCCTGCTAGACGTGTAAATGAAACCTGGGAGTTCGGAGTCCTCTGTGCATGTACAAAGTCGCTCTTTTAGGACCAAGGCAGCCGCTTTTTTTGCCCGTCTCCCTCCCCTGTGTGTGCGCATAGGGGGAAGCTGCCGCCGCCGCCGCCATCCTCCTATTCCAAAAGAACCCCCAGAGGGGAAGGCGGATGCTCACTGGTGCTCAACACCATCTTCTCCCCCCCCCACCCCCTGTGGCCATTTCCCTGGTTGGTGCCCCTGCCTTGCCAGCCAGCCCAGGGCAGGGGGGTCCACAGCCATAGATCCCCTCCCCAGAGGAGTCTGCTCTTCTTCATCTGCCTTGGGATGGGGGGGGGTCCCTCTGCCTCCCGATGGGGTGAGATGGCGGCACCACCCCATTACCCCCCCCCAACTTCCCCTCTTATTTTCTTTGTGTTTTAGGGGTGGGGAAGGGGGGACGAGTGGGGCCCACATCTGGAGGGGGGGATGTATACCGTCCTGTCCCATCTTCCCTTTTCCCATTTCGGGATAGTGTTGTCGTGTGAATCAACCAAAACAAGGAAAACAACAACAACCACGAGAAGAAAAAAAAACCAATTTAACAAATAAAAACCAGAAGTGGAATATTTAATAGGAGAGCTGTGGTGGTCTCTTTACCTGCAGTCTGTGAGTGTCCAGGGGTGTCTGCGTACCAGGGGGGAGGGGGAATTATTTCTGAATTAAAAGCCAGCGTGCAAACAGGCCAATGTACCTATTACACAGAATGAAGTGGTCAACCGAGTCTGTGAAATTCTGGACTCTGTCAATATAGATGGCTGGGGTGTGTGGCACTGTCGTCATGATTCGGAATGTTCTCGTTACAAAAGGTTAATCTTCCTGTGTCTGTTACAGTAGCACGTAGAAAGGTTGGCCACAGAGGTACTAATTTTATTATTATTTTTTAATTAAATATTTTTATTGAGTTTTTCACTATAATGCACAAACGACAAACCTATAACATATCTTAAATAAACAATCCATCCAGTTAACACCCTATACAGCAAAAATCTTCTAAACAGCAACAGGTCAAACAAGCACAATTACATTTTTCTTCTAGTTAATCACTAAATAGAGTAATTATCGAGTACATCCTTCCATTAGTAATAATTTTTAAGATTCTCATTATCAACATTGTTCTCTTGAAACAAATGCTGGAAAAAAATTCCTACTTTCTCCAGTATACAATAGATGTCATGTTTCCAAGATAATAAACATAAATCATAGGTTTTGAGTTTTTATGTTATTTTAATTTAATATTATTTTTATTTTATTTTTTAATTCAGAGGTACTAATTCACTACATGTAGATAGTCTGGGTTTTTTAAAAAAAATCGGAGAGGCAATTAAAAATACATTCCCCCCCGTTGCAGTTTGAAGTAGTCCAACCTGGAACCTTTAGTCCAACCTGGAACCTTCCACACTTTGTTCTCCAGTGGGGAAGAGAAACAAACCGTGGCATAGGAGTTGCAGTGTTCCCTCTAAGCGGCGTTAGTGTGAGCTAGCTCAGTTTTTTTAGCCTCCGACTCACACATTTTTGTCTCAGCTCAGGAGGGATGGCTCCAGAGCAAACTAATGGATGCAGCAGCCAAATCTCTCGCTCACAACTTGAATGCCAGGAGCTCACAAAGTAGAATTTTTGCTCACAAGACTCCACAGCTTAGAGGGAACATTGGTTAAGAGCGTGAGCAGTGAACCAGTACAAATCTCACTTTGGCCATGATTTTTAGAACCGTCAGATGGGTCGAACGGGAAAGTCTCTTAAGGGAACCAACCGAAAACACTGGCCTGTGTCTTCCCAGCCAGCGAAATCTGAACCCAGGCCTCCAGTCTAAGGGACCTCCTGCCCACCTAAGTGGTTGTTCTGCCGGCGGAAGAATGGCTGAACCTGGAGGAAGGCTCCGAACTTTGCCACAGGACTCACTGCCACAGGAAGTGGCGGCGGCTACAAGCATGGACGGCTTCAAAAGGGAATTAGATAAGCATATGGAGCAGAGGTCCATCAGTGGCTATTAGCCACAAGGTATAGATAAGGGCTCTGGGGCAGGTGATGCTCTGTCTTCTTGGTGCTTGGGGTGGGGTCAACAGTGGGAGGGCTTCCAATGTCCTGGCCCCACTGGTGGACCTCCTGATGGCCCCTGGTATTTCTGGCCACTGTGTGACACAGAGTGTTGGACTGGATGGGCCTTTGGCCTGATCCAACATTGGCGTCTCTTATGTTCTTAAGAGTGCCCTTTACAGTTTTACAATTCCAAACAATGCAGGCAGCTCTTTTGGCGGGCCGCTATTCGCATACTCCAAAAGAGCAATGTCTCTGCATTTGTGGCTTGCCAGAGGTGGAGGACCTTCCGCACTACATGCTTCGGCTAGCCCCGTCGTGAAGCTAAGCAGGGTCAGCCCTCGTTAGCACTTGGATGGGAGAAGTCCAGGGCAAACCAACAACGCCTCTTGCCTTGGAAAACCCTTCAGAGCCACCCTACGTTGGTTGCAACTTAGGGTTGCCTGGTCCCGCCGGCGACTGGTGGGGGATGGGGGGGTTGCCGGATCCAGGTTGGGAAACTCCTGGCGATTTGGGGGTGGAGCCTGGGGAGGACGGGGACCTCAGTGGGGTCCAATGCCGCAGAGCCCGCCCTCCAAAGCATCCGTTTTCTTTCTCCAGGGGAACCGATCTCGGTAATCCAGGGATGAGCTGTAATCCCAGGGGATCCCCAGGTCCCACCTGGAGGCTGGCGTCCCTGGTTGTCGGCACTTTCTGCCACTGCGCTCTTGTTCTTCTGCATTTGGCCACAAGGGGGAGTGTGGCGGCTTCACCCAAGACTGCGGCAGACAGTGGCGGCAGTGTGGAGGTGTGTGTGTGTGCCACGCAGAGGTTTGTCCTGGAATGGCCTCGCGACTTCCCCCTCCCATTTCCCCAGGTTCCTCTCTGCGTGTGCTAGCCGCCCCCGGTCTGGCACTGCCCTCTGCTTCCAAAGATGCCACCTGATGCGGCTAATTTAATCGGATTGGTTCCCCCCCCATCTGGCTCCCGTGGGGTGGGGTGAGGGGGAAGAGGTCATTGCCACGGCAACGGAAGGCGGGGGGGAGAGAAAGGATCTAATCGCCATGGTGACTGAAACGGTGGGAAACTGGGGAAGGGCCTTTGGCGCTGTGAGAACGGGGGGGGGGGGGGGGAGGCCGTGGCGGGGGCACATGTGGGGGGGGGGGGGGGGGAGGCCAAGGCGTGTGGCCGCCTTCCTATCTGGGTCCCACATCTCTGAAAGGGTGTTCAGAACACGGCTGTCTTTCAGGCAACCCAAGGCGAATAAACGTGGCAGACACATGTTGCCATGTGCTGGCTAAAAGCAGCGCTGGGAGAGAGCCCCTGAGGAAACGAGGCCTTTGCCGCACAAGCTGCTGAGTGGGTGGATACGGGTGGATAATCTCTCTGCTGGGATGTCGCTGGGCTACCCGAGTTTCTGATACCTGAACACTGCTGTGCGCTCCCCTGCCCCGACTCTATCACGGCCCTGCTTTACTCACAGGTAACTGGCCGCCGGTGCTGAGGCTAAACCAGACCTGGTTTCTGCATCGGGACTGGTGGAACAAACCGACAATCTTATCAGACTCCCCTGCTCCAAAGAAAGGGAGGCACTGCAGGGAATCCGAGGGTGTGGTCAGCGGTTGGCGGGAGCCTTCATTTCTCCGTTTGCATAATTTCGGGATGGCCTCCTGAAATCAGGGTTTGGCGGGCAGTCTGGCAGGAACACATCTTCCTAACCCCCCCACCTTGTTCACCCCCCCAATACGCACAAACGTACGAAGCTGCCTGAATCGGTCAGGCCTTTGACACACCCATCTCAGTCTTTACTCTGCCCTTCAGGCAAGAGAGAATTCTTTCCCACCCGCGGCTCCTGCTTTTGTTCCTCTGATGATGAAGAAGAAGAAGAAGAAGAGGAGGAGGAGATTGGATTTATACCCCGCCCTTCACTTGGAGTCTCAGAGCGGCTCACAAACTCCTTTCCCTTCCCCTCCCCACAACAGACACCCTGTGAGGTGGGTGGGGCTGAGAGAGCTCTGACACAAACTGCTCTTTTTCAAGGACAGCTGTGCCAGAGCTTGTGACTGACCCAAGGTCACATCAGCAGGTGCAAGTGGAGGAGTGGGGAATCAAACCCGATTCTCCCAGATTAGAGTCCGCACACTTAACCACAACACCAAACTGATGCATTTTTATTCAGCCCTTCTTCTAAGGCGCTTCCCTGACACAGCGGGGATTCGAACTCGGGCCTCCCACGTCCTAGCCTGACACTCTAACCAATATGCCACAGCGTCTCTCAGTAACTGGAGAGCTCACGGACCCAACCTGGGAAGCTTCCGCATTGCAGAGGATTTGCCTGCAACAAATGCAAGGTGCCGTGATTAACTATTTCCCCCTCCCCGTTTCTAGTAGATGAGTCCTCCACTGTATCAGCCTTTTCCTTTCGGGAAAGGCCTTAACATCCGGACAGCCGAGAGGTACTGTCGCAAGTTTGGTGTAGTGGTTAAGAGCGCGGATTCTGATCCGGGAGAACCGGGTTTGATCCCCCCCTCCTCCACATGCAGCTGCCGGTGTGACCTCGGGTCAGTCGTAAGTCCTTTCGGAGCTGTTCTCTCAAGGGCAGTTCTCGGGAGAGCTCTCTCAGCCCCACCTGCCCCACAGGGTGTCTGTTATGGGGAGGGGAAGGGAGATTGTAAACCGCCCTGAGACTCCTTCGGGTACTGAAGGGCAGGGTATAAACCCGATCTCTTCCTCCCCTTCCCTCCCCCATGGCCTGAAATCCCTGCAGCCGACGATCTCTTCTATATTGAAGGTTACGGGCACGTGCCCCTCTCCTGCAATATGTCACACTGCAAACATTTTCACAGCTGCTCCTGTTCATCTGGACCTCTCCCCCACCTTTGTCCGGTCCTATCTGTTGCAAGATCATAAGAATCCCGTGGAGCCGGTCTCCATGAACGTCACAGGATATTCCGCTCTTCTGTTTCACCCCTAGGCACGATTTCAGAGCCGTAGCTGGCTTCCTCCAGCAGCAGATATTACGACTCTGAAGAGCAGAACTGGGTAGCTCTTGTACACGTCAAGAATGCCCGTGCAGGCGAATCCGGAGATTTGGGTGGGTAGCCGTGTTGGTCCGAAGCAGCAGAACAAAGTTTCAGTGGGCCAACCAAGATTTATTCTGGGTAGAAGCTGTCGTGTGCTTTTAACGCAGTTCAACACAAATGGTGAAGGCACACGAAAGCTTATACCCAGAATAAAACTTTGTTGGTCTTAAGGGAGCTTAAAGGAATGATTGAAGGTCAAAGGAGTCGGGGACGGAAAAGGATGAGATGGTTAGACAGTGTTGTCGATGCAACGAACATGAAATTGACCAAACTCCAGAGGACGGCGGAGGACAGGAGGGCCTGGTGTGAGGTGGTCCGCGGGGTCGCAAAGAGTCAGACTCGACTGTGCGACTGAGCAACAACGAAGGTGCCACTGGACTCAAACTGTGTTCAGGAGAATCCATAATCAGATTGCAAGCCTGGGAGGGGGAAGCAGGTCGACTTCTCCATCCCAAATCGTTAAGCGACGCAAACGGAATTATGTCGGTTGACGGCTAGACTGAACAACTTGGGAATTTCTACTTTGAGGTAAACAGGTAGCCTCTCATTTGGGGGGGGGCAGAGACTGGGGCGCTTCCACACAGCCGGGAAACTGCCCTCGACCAAACGGCATGCCAGCAATTTGGGTTTCTTCCTAGAGACTTTTTCAGGGGGGGAGTGATGTTGGCTACATTAGGGGTGTGTCACCTAATATGCAAAGGAGTTCCTGCTACAAAAACAGCCCTGGGTAAAAGAGCAAGACTAGAGTCTAGTAGTGCCTTAAAGACTGACAAGAGAGGGGCTGTGGCTCAGTGGCAGAGTGTCTGCTTGGCATCTGGAAGGTCCCAGGTTCGATCCTCGGTATCTCCAGTTAAAAAGGACCAGGCAGGAGGTGACGTGAAAGACCTCCGCCCGAGATCCTGGAGAGCTGTGAAGTGAGGCTGTGGCTCAGTGGAAGAGCCTCTGCTTGGCATGCAGAAGGCCCCAGGTTCGATCCCCAGGATCTCCATCTAAAAGGACCAGGCAGGAGGGGATGGGAAAGACCTGCGCCTGAGACCCTGGAGAGCCATGAAGTGGGGCTGTGGCTCAGTGGAAGAGCCTCTACTTGGCATGCAGAAGGCCCCAGGTTCGATCCCCAGGATCTCCATCTAAAAGGACCAGGCAGGAGGGGATGGGAAAGACCTCCGCCTAAGACCCTGGAGAGCCATGAAGTGGGGCTGTGGCTCAGTGGAAGAGCCTCTACTTGGCATGCAGAAGGCCCCAGGTTCGATCCCCAGGATCTCCATCTAAAAGGACCAGGCAGGAGGGGATGGGAAAGACCTCCGCCTAAGACCCTGGAGAGTGGATGCCAGTCTGAGCTGACAGTACTGACCCTGATGGACCAAGGGTCTGATTCAGTAGAAGGCAGCTTCATATGTGTTCATGTGTGACAAGATTTCTAGGGGACAGATCGAGATGGGTAGCCATGTTAGCCTGTCTGTCGCATCAGAAAAGAGCCAGAGTCCAGTAACACCTTAAAGTAAAGGTAAAGTTCATCTCCGTTTCCAAGCCGTAGAGCCAGCGCTGTCCGAAGACATTTCCGTGGTCATGTGGCCGGCATGACTAAACACCAAGGCACACGGAACGCTGTTCCCTTCCCACCGAAGTGGTACCTATTTATCTACTTGCAATTTCTTGCTTTCGAACTGCTAGGTTGGCAGGAGCTGGAACTAGAGACAGGAGCTCACTCCGTCATGCGGCACACTCGGGTCTCGAACTGCTGTACTACCGACCTTCCACAGCCTGCAGCATCTTAACCCCTTGAGCCACCTTAAAGACTAACAAAAATTGTGGCAGGGTTAGGAGCTTTTGGGAGCTCCTGCTCCCTTCTTCAAGACGGGCGGCCGTGTTAGTCTGTCTGTGGTGCCAGAAAAGAGCCAGAGACCAGCAGCATCTGAAGGACTAAGAATTTTTGTGGCAGAGTATGTGCTTTTGGGAGTCCCAGCTCACTTCTTCAAGGCAGGTAGCCGCGTTTGTCTGTAACGGAAGAAAAGAGCAAGAGGTCCAGGAACACCTTAAAGACTAACACAGATTGTGGCAGGGGAGGAGCTTCCGTGAGTCGCTGCTCACTTCTTCGGCTACAGCCAGAATGAGCCGGAAGATTTCGAAACAATACGGTTTCGAGAGCCTGGGCCCCCTCCCAATCTGGAAAGCTAGTCCCCTAGAAACCTGGGTGTCCTCTACGGTGCTACCTAGACCCGAATCCTCTCGCTCTTCCTAGAGATGGTGGCCAGCCCTGTGGAGTTGGCCGCAAGGAATGAGGGCAGCAGCCGGGCTTTTGCGCAGAAGGCAGACGGAACCTGGTGCGTGGAGACCACCCCTGTTGAGGCATAGATCACGACACCTGAGAGACAATCCCATCACTGCTTTCTTGCTTTAATGTTACCAGCAAGGGGGGAAAAGGGAAGTCGGACTCAGACGTCGGTCGGAACCCCCCCGAGGCTTGTCTGTTACGGAACGAGTTAACATGGTGATCCTGCTCACCGTTCGGGAAAGGAGGTGTGGGCAGCGTTGCGGCATGCGCCAGACAGGAAAAAACAAGGAGAGGGATTGGGAGTTTGTGGCGAGGGAGAGGGGTTAGGGATGGTGGCCGGGGGGGGGGAGGTAGGTCTTTGAAAGGACAAAATTAAGGGGGGGGACGGTAGAGGTTTAGAAGACCAGACCGCAGCCTGCAGAACAGGCTCTTGCAGAGAGAGGGAGAGGAAAATAAAACGCAATACAACATCGTCCATATATACAGATGCAACAGAAGAGGCACGGAAAGCACGGGGGGGGGGGGGTCGGGGCCGGCCAACCTCCTCCGGCCGCTTCACACCGGCTCCATCTGCAGCTCGTCGCTCTCTCCAGACTCCAGCTCATGGAAGGCGGCGTGGGAGCCAATGACTACCAGAGTGGCGCCTGCGGGGGGCGACAGAGACGAAGGGTGACCTGTTGCGGGCGGCCATCTGTGATGACGGAAACAGAGAATCTTGCTTCCTCCCCCCCGTCCCAAACCTGGCCCTTGCAGGTTGTAGGGGGCACGTCCGGAGCCTTGGGCAGCAGAGAGAAGGGAAGTGGGAGAGGTGGGACGAAGACCTGGAGGGGCTAGTTTGGTGTCGTGGTTAGGAGCGCGGACTCGAATCTGGGAGAACTGGGTCTGACTCCCCACTCCTCTACATGCAGCCAGCTGGGTGACCTTGGTTCAGTCACAGCTCTTGCAGAGCTCTCTCAGCCCAAAAAATAAGTCTAGCTTGCCACCTAGTGATGTATAATGCTAAAAGAGCTAGAACTGTTGACTGCTAGACGATCTTAGGATCTCCTGGCTATACTAAACACAGTGCCATATGATAATAATAATTATTACCTATAAATGGGCAGCGGCATATCAGTATGTAAGGATTGCTCCCTCCCCATTCATGCCTGGTTCAGCCCTTTGTTCCGGTTACAGAAAGAAAAGCCTTGTTTGGTGTGAGAGCCAGTCTGGTGTAGGGGTTAAGAGCGCGGACTCTGATCTGGGAGAATCAGGTTTGATCCCCCACTCCTCCACGTGCAGCTGCTGGCGTGACCTTGGGTCAGTCACAAGTTCTCTCAGAGCTCTTCTCTCAAGGGCAGTTCTTAAGAGAGCTCTCTCAGCCCCCACCTGCCTCACAGGGTGTCACATTGTGGGGAGGGGGAGGGAAAGGAGATTGTAAGCTGCTCTGGGACGCCTTCGGGTAGTGAAGGGCGGGGTATAAATCCAGTCTCCTCCTCTTCTCTTCTTCGCTTGGACAGGATTTGGGGGGGGGGGGATGGACTGAAAAGCAACTAACAAGCAATCAAATAAAAAAATTCCTGTAGATCAACCCATGATCAATCGAGCTTGGAGTATTCCGCGACTGCCCACAAAGGTGGGTACAACTTCAGCGATGGTATTGGACACTTATCCAGCACCCCGAGAATCAAATCCTGAATTTAATTTTTTTTAAAAAAATTCTCAGTCCTTTTTATTGCAATCGCAGGTCTAGGCCTCCGGGGACGATAGGAAGGAGAATTCCAGAGCCAGCAAAGTGCTGGAAAAGATTTTCTGGTGATTAAAAAAAGGGAGGAGGGACGTGCACAGAGAACTAGCGCGGCTCCTTGGCTCTCTCCACAAACAAAGAACACAAAATAACCATGAATTTATGCCTGATTTGCAATGTATATATGAATTTAGGATTTAGCCTCTCTAAATCCTGCATAATTAGGGACGTTTTTTAAATAGTCGAGAAATGGCACCACCTATCTTCCACTAGAAGAACTGCAAGTGCTCTCAAAACAGGATTGCCGATCTGGTGGGGCATGTTCGTGCAGGCAAGAACAGCAGGACAGTGAGGTATTCAGGCCTGCAGCTACGAGGGGCATTCGGGGGGGGACAATATCCCCCCCCAAATATGTCACACTCCATCACAGAATCTCCAGCTTTAAAAATAAAAATAAGGCTGTAGCCCTTTCCGTTGCAGAGATATAATAGAAAATGTGCAGTGAGTTCTTTTCCTCCTGAGTGCCTGGGAAGGAGAGGAAGCAGCTAATCAACTGCAGCTGTCCCAGTTAACTCCTCACTGGCCAAACTGGGCCCCGTGCTTCTTTCTAATTTGGTTCCGTTGTGCCACTGCCTCTTTAGCAGGCTAACCCAGAAGGCCTTGAGTGTAAATGGCCGGGGGGGGGGGACCCAAAAGGGTTCACGAGTAGCCGCGGTCACCTACATGAATGTTTGGGTTTGTCTTAGCTGTTCAGAACCAGGCTGGGACGATTCTGGGCCTAGATGGATGGGAACTAGGAAAAGAGGTCCCCAACCTTTTTGAGCCGGTGGGCGCCTTTGGAATTCTGACACAGCATGGTGGGTGCATCGACAAAATGGCTCCTGCAAAATGGCTGCTTCAGGAGGTGGAGCCAGCCATAAAAATGGCTGATGCAGCTTACCCTTATTCACACGGCGCAGATCCTTTTTAAAAATTTGCACAGCTGATTGTCTCGCTAGTGACCAATCACAAACTTTGCTGGGCAAGAGCCCCTCCCCCTTTCTAAAAACATTAGGCGAGCACCGGGAGAGGCGTTGATGGGTACCGTATTGGGGTCCCCTGGGCTAAGTTAAGGATTACTCCCTCCCCATTCATGCCTGGTTCAGCCCTTTGTTCTGGTTACTGAAAGAAAAGCCTTGTTTGGTGTGAGAGCCAGTTTGGTGTAGTGGTTAAGACTGCGGACTCTAATCTGGGAGAACCGGGTTTGATTCCCCACTCCTCCACTTGCACCTGCCGGTGGGACCTTGGATCAGTCAGAAGTTCTCTCAGAGCTGTTCTCTCAAGAGCAGTCCTCAAAAGAGCTCTCTCGGCCTCACCTACCTCACAGGGTGTCTGTTGTGGGGAGAGGAAGGGAAAGGCGTTTGCAAGCTGCTCTGAGATTCCGAGTGAAGGGGAGGGTATAAATCCAATCTCTTCCTCTTATTGTTATATTTTCTCCCCTTTAAGTTTTGCTCTGGATTCCCCAGCATTGTTAAAAACGAGCCATAAAGTTAGAAGAAGTTGCATGGGATTTGGTGCTGAGTATACAATTGTTTCTATGCTCTCTGGATGTTTGCAGGGACAAGTCAGACTAACTGGGGTGAGATTTATGTGCTTCTGGGCTGGGCTTCCCTGTTTGCAGTGGGAAGTTTGCCTCCGGAGCACGTGAGGCCATGGGAGGGGGGGGGGGGGGGGGAGAGCAGAAAAAAGAATTCCCTACTTCACTTGGCCTGGAATCTCACTTTAATCACTAATTGCAGGCTACCTTGCAGTAACGTGCCCGCATAAAGGAATGCATGCCTCTGAGAACGTGCAGAGTGCATTCTACTTAACAATGAATATGATCCTGCCCAGGGTGCAGGACAGGGCTATTTTTGGGCAGGAACGCACAGGAATGGCGTTCCGGCTGGCTCCCAAGTTGGCCACGCCCAGCAGGAACTCATTACCATAATAGGCCACACCCAACAGCAGAAACTCATTAGGATTGGCTACATTAGGGGTGTGTGGCCTAACATGCAAAGGAGTTCCTGCTACAAAAAAGGCCCTGGGTTTGGACAACAAACAAGGTAAACAGAATAACAAGCAAAAGGTGGGTGTGGCTGGATGAGCACACTTCTGGTAACACGGGGGTGTGGCCTAATATGCCAATGAGCTGTGCTGTAAGGGGTGAGGCCTAATATGCTAATGTGTTTCTGCTGTTGGGTGTGGCCTATTATGCTAATGAGTTCCTGCTGGGCTTTTTCTACAAAAAGAGCCCTGCAGGATGATGGGGACCTACCAGCCTTGGTGCCTCCCCACCCCCAATGTGATCATGTGTCCTTGGTATAACGTTTCTGGCTAGGAGTCTGGAGGTGCTGTTGACTGACTATCTCACAGGAGGCAGCGTAGTGCAATGGGTAGACTAGGCCTGGATTAAAATCCCTTCACAGTCCTGAAACTCACTGGGGCTGTGGTTGTTGTGAGGTTAAAAACCGAGGAGGCAAGAACCGCAAGCTGAGCTCCTTGGGGGAAGGGCAGGCAGGCCCGTAGCTATGGTGGGACTTTTGGGGGCTCCGCCCCCTTTCTTAAAGGGGCAGCCCCACAAGAAGTTCTCCAGTAAATGCTTTTTTCAATCATTTCAAAACATTTTTTTTAAAGTGAGAGCCAGTTTGGTGTAGTGGTTAAGTGCGAGGACTCTAATCTGGGAGAACCGGGTTTGATTCCCCAGTCCTCCACTTGCACCTGGCTGGATGACCTTGGGCAAGCCGTAGTTCTGATAAGAGCTGTTCTTGAAAAAGAGCAGTTTCTGTCAAGAGCTCTCTCAGCCCCACCTCTACCTCACAGGGTGTCTGTTGTGGGGAGGGGAAGGGAGAGGAGTTTGTAAGCCACACTGTGGCACCGTTGGATAGTGAAGAGCGGGGTATAAATCCAATCTCTTCTCTTCTTAGTATACTGGGGTGGTGTAGTTGACGAATTCCTGCACTGAGCAAGGGGGTTGGAGTAGGTGACCTCTAGGACACCTTCTAACTCTGTGTCAAGAAACTGGTCTCCTTTATGAGAGCTTTTCTGCCTGTTAGCTTTCTTGACTAGAGACGTCATCACCCCCACCTGCCAGCTTGTGAGCAGAATTGTTGCTTCGGCTGGCAGAAGTGATTAACTTACAGCAGCTGAGAACTGTCATCTAAAGTGGTCGACAGCTTGCAGTTTGGAGATCTATCCCGGTAACAGCTTTCTGTTGGCTGAATGGCTTTTCTTTCTGCGCTGAGAACTTCAGCCCCATCAGGAAAAAAAATTTGCCCCACAAGCCACAAAATCCTGGCTACGGGCCTGAGGGCAGGATAGAAATGTAAGACAGGCTTAACAACATTTTCTCTTGTGTGCGTGAATGTGCCTAAAAAGGGGGTCTAAGGCTAGGGAGGGGGACAAGGCGTTATTCGGTGGTCCAGGGAGAAGGAAGAAAGCTTGTACCTCACAGCTTGGATGGGGTTAGCGCCAAAATTACTCACCCAGCACCCAGAAAACGGCGGATCCGGCTCCTGCCAGCCAGAAGAAGGGAAAAGAAATGCCTCCGGCTAGGCCGTATTGATGGGCTGTGCTGAGTTCCCGGCCTAGAGAAAAAGAGATTGGGTAAAAATGCAGAAGCGTGACAATAAAGAGGAGCCCTGAGGGCCACCAACAGGACCGGCAGCTTTCTTGAAGGTGGCCTGGAGCTCTGTTTTGTCTTCTATTTCCCACTCTAAGGTAGAAATCTGAACACGGGTACTGTCTTCGAACTTCACAGCCCCTTCCAGCCTACTTGCAAACCTCAACCACCTTGGTAAAACACGCTGCAATCCTGAGACCCAGGTTTCCGTTCAGAGGAATGCGAGGATTTCCACACTCTGCGTGGTTGACATACAGCAAGTCGTGGTCTCTCTCTCTCTCAGGCAGAGGTCCCTGCCTTTTTGAGCCTATGGGCACATTTGGAATTCTGAGACCGCATGTCAGGGACAGCAACAAAATGGCCACTGCAAAATGGCTGCCTGAGGAGATGGTAAAAAAGGTAAAGGTTCCCTTGCTCGAAAGCCAGTCGAATCCGACTCTAGGGTTGCGGTGCTCATCTCCGTTTCAAAGCCGAAGAGCCAGCGCTGTCCGAAGACGTTTCCGTGGTCATGTGGCCGGCATGACTAAACGCCAAGGCGCACGGAGCGCTGTTCCCTTCCCACCGAAGCGGTACCTGTTTATCTACTTGCAATGTCTTGCTTTCGAACTGCTAGGTTGGCAGGAGCTGGAACTAGAGACGGGAGCTCACTCCGTCATGCGGCACACTTGGGTCTCGAACTGCTGAACTACCGACCTTCCACAGCCTGCAGTTCAGCGTCGTAACCACTTGAGCCACCGCAGCTCCTTGAGGAGGAGATGGAGCCAGAAGCAAAATAGCCACCACAGCTGAACTTCAGCCACACAGTGCAGATCCATTTGCTGCAGGGGCAGCAGTTGGCAAAGCGGCGTTTTTAAAAAATCTGAATGGCCAATCAAATCTCCAATAGTCAATCAGACGTTTCGCTGGGCAAAAGCCCGACCTGGCTCCAACCACTTCCTGAAAACACATGGCGGGCACCAGAAAAGGTGCCAGTGGGCCCCACGCGTCCACAGGCACCACGTTAGGGACCCATACTCTAAGGCCCAGGGAGGCGTGTGGATTCTTTGAAAATGAACATCGCTCATTCTTCGCGTCCAGTGGCACCTTTAAGACCAACAGTTTTATTCATGTTAGCACACTGCCACCCAATGGCCACATTGGGAACTGCAACACCCAAAGGCAGTTCCGTTAAAAGACAAACTACAGCGACTGGCCAAAAGCCATATTTATTTATTTTTATTTATTTATATTTAACGTTTATATCCCGCCCTCCCCGCCATTCGGCAGGCTCAGGGCGGCTAACAACATATATAAAAATACATTAAAATCCCATTGAAACTGTTAATCAATATAAAACCATACAACTTATATTAAAAGATGGCGAATCGTCCGATCTCGGCTGTCAACTGAACACTCTCTCGGCCCCACCTACCTCGCAGGGTGTCTGTTGTGGGGAGGGGAAGGGAAAGGAGATCGTGAGCCGCTCTGAGACTCCTTCGGGTAGTGAAGGGCGGGGTATAAATCCAATCCCTTCCTCTTCTTTTAATTGGACTATTAGGCAGTCAAACATGCAAAGGGGACCATCCCCAGAGGACTGTGCCACATGAAAACAGAGAGTTGCCAACCCCCAGGTAGGCGGCTGGAGATCTCCTGGAATTACAAGAGATCTCCAGACTGCATAAACCACTTATTTATTTAGAATATTTATTCCACTTCTCCTGGAGAAAACGGGTGCCTTGGAAGGCAACCTGCATGCCTTTAAACCCTAGCAGGGTTCCCCCCCCCTTCCTAAACCCCACCCACCCAGTCTTCATCCTCAAATCTCCAGGTATTTCTGAACCCAAAGTCGGCAACTCTATCCGAACATGTAGAATGGCGCAGAGCCCCACTGGTGGACCTCCTGATGGCACCTGGTATTTCTGGCCACTGTGTGATACAGAGTGTTGGACTGGATGGGCCTTTGGCCTGATCCATCATTGGCGTCTCTTATGTTCTTATGTCTTGTTTTGTGGGGTGGTTCTTTCGCTTCCCTGGCTAAGGTGGACAATAATTTACAGAGGCGAGGGACGGGAGTGTGAATGATACCTGTCGGACCCACCCCCCACAGAACAGAGCCACCCTCTCCTTACCAAACACAACCAGCTGTGACTGCTGCGTCTTCAGGTAGATGATATAACAGGCCCCAAAGAAGACGGCGAGCGCAATCAGAAGCAGAGGAGACGTGATGCTGCGGGGGGAGAGAAGAAGGCAAGGAGGTTAGATCCCAGGGCAAGGGAGGAGTCAAGGCTCAGTGGCAGAGAACACATCTGGCACACAAGAAGATTCAAGGTTTGATTCGTGGCACCTCCGTTTCGAGGACAGATCTGCTGCGGGCCAGTGGCTGGAATCAATGGAAGTTAGTTTCATAGAAATCATGGAATCACAGAATTGGAAGGGGACATACAGGCCATCTAGTCAACCCTCTGTTCAATGCAGGATCAGCCTAGAGTGGGGTGTCAAACATGCGGCCCGGGAACCGGATTAGGCCCCCGGGGGGCTTCTATCACGCCCCCAGCGGAACTGGCTGTCTTCTGGTTCTCCTTCCAGTTCTGCTGCTGCTGCGTCATCGTAGGTTTGGAGCTTATGGATACACACCTGAACAGCTAACTGAAGTTTGCAACAGCACAGACGTTTTGATGCAGTAATTCAGAGCAAGGGGTGTCTGTTATCAGACACTGCTAAATAAACAAAATATTGCAAGAGTGCTGATGTCTTAAGCACGTTTTTATTTTAAGTTAAAAAAAACCCCTTTGTGTTTGGGTCCTTTATAAAGTTCATATCTCCGCTACCTGGCGTTATATTTTACAACACACACGGCCCGGTCCAACAAGGTCCTCATTTATGTCAGATCTGGCCCTCATAACAAATGAATTCGACACCCCTGGCCTAGAGCATCCCTGACAAGTGTTTGTCCAGACGCTGCTTAAAGACTGCCAGGGAGGGGGAGCTCGCCACCTCCCGAGGCAGTTGATTCCACTGCGGTTGATACAAAACAAGAATCAGCGTCGAACAAAGTCTGAGTCCGATGGCACCTTTAAGACCAACGAAGTTTTATTCAGGGTGGCAGCTTTCATGTGCAGGCACAGGTCTTGAGGTGTGGACTGGACTCAAGACTTTGTTCTGCTGCTTCAGACCAACATTTGAAAGAAAAGCAATGAAGGGCTGCTGTGACTCTTGGGACTAGGGATGTGCATTCGGTTCGTCTGAACCGAATGCACCCCCGAAAATGGCCCATTCGGGCCTCTTTCGGGCTCCTGCAGGCCGATTCAGATTCTCTGATCTGAATCGGCTTGCTGCCGAATTGCCGCCGAATTTCGGTGGCAATTCGGCCCCTTTATAGCCTATGGGCCATTGAAGTCAATGGCGAAAACATAGGGTATATTCTGGGGGCTGGAGGGGAGGGGGTTTGAGGGAGAGGCTCCAAACTCGCAGGGTAGCTGCTGGAGCCTCTCCCCAAGATACCCACCAGGTTTCAAGAACATTGGACCAGGGGGTCCAATTCTAAGAGCCCCCCAAAATATGACCCCTGGTCAGTTCTTGGTGGGTACCTTGGGGAGAGGCTCCAGCAGCTACCCTGCGAGTTTGGAGCCTCTCCCTCAATCCCCCTCCCCTCCAGCCCCCAGAATATACCCTATGTTTTCACCATTGACTTCAATGGCCCATAGGATATAATGGGGCGGAAACTGACATTTGGCTGGGACTGACGAAATTGACATGTGGGAGTCTTTCTGCCTGCCGAAATTGATTCTGCCCAATTCGGCCAAATCCGAATCTGGCCGAATTTTTTTTTTTTGCACACCCCTACTTGGGATGCTTCAGAATGTGTGCAGATCAATGAAAAATGGCAGATTTCCAAATATTTCCAAATATGTGTTCCAAATGGACTGTAGTTCAAATCCTACAGCCCATTTGCAGTGCATAACACACTCAACAAGCTTTCTTAACATAAGAAGGTAAGGAAAGCCCTGCTGGATCAGACCCCTGGCCCATCCAGTCCAGCATCCTGTCTCACACACTTGCCGACTGGTACCTCTGGAGGGCCAACAACAGGGCACGGAGGCCGAGGCCTTCCCCTGATGTTTCCTCCTGGCGCTGGGATTCAGGGGTTGACTGCCTCTGAACGTGGAAGCTACCTTGAGTCACCTTTAGGTCTTGCGGCAAAATCTCTGAGCACAAAAACAGGCAAGGAGAAACTCTGTACATCTGAACCATCTTATGTCTGGGGCAGTGATGTTCTGCATTCTTGGTGCCTTGGGGTCCACAGCGGGAGGGCTTCTGGAGTTCTGGCTCTGCTGGTGGACCTCCCAATGGCACCTGGGTTTTGGCCACTGTGTGACACAGAGTGTTGGACTGGATGGGCTATTGGCCTGATCCAACATGGCTTCTCTTATGTTCTTAGGTCTGGGGCAGTGATGTTCTGCATTCTTGGTGCTTGGGGGGCCGTAGTGGGAGGGCTTCTGGAGTTCTGGCCCCACTGGTGGACCTCCTGATGGCACTTGGGTTTTGGCCACTGTGTGACACAGAGTTTTGGACTGGATGGGCCATTGGCCTGATCCAGCATTGCGTCTCTTATGTTCTTATGCTCATTTGCATTTGTTTCTTCAACTGGCCAAATTGTACCGCTTTTCAGTCTCTTTCAAAAGCTTCTCTTTCAACAGCCATGCTGTAAAACACAGGCGGGGGAAATGCTCCCGGCCATATGGGCTAGAAACTTGGCTTTTCATCTGAAAACAGTGAATCTTAGGATGTCTCTTCCTGTTTCTGTTTCAGAAACTTTCAGAAACACCCGATTCTGTTACTGCTCGGCAATCTGCCAGCAGGGCACTCGACGGTGCACCCAAAGCCAAGTGAGGCGTTCCCCCGCCCCCCTCCACTTCTGCTACTCACAGGCAATAGACGATGAGTCCCAAGAAAACAAAGACGTAGTTGCTCTGGAAATACTCGACGTTACGCACGAGCCGCTTGCAGAGCTCCCCGAAATTCCGGGGCTTCCCGAAACGCCGCTGGTCCAGGAAGTTGGCCCAGGTACAGCTGGTGGCCTTCTGCTGCTCCAGCCATTCTTTGGCAGGGACCTGGGGCAAGAGAGCTGGGATGTTGATCCTGTAACGGAAGAGGAGGAGGGCAGAGAGAGCTTTAGAAAACTCCAAAGTCGGAACAGATCCACCCCCGGTGCCCCAATCCCTTCAGCATGCTGAGCCACCCCCCCAAGCCCTTTCCCTAGAGCCAAGGGTTTCTCCGCCCATCGCCGGGGGCTCCCTTCCTCGCTTCTTACTTGGTACCCAGCAATGATCCCGCTGCCTCCACTTCGGTTCCTGGGTTGAAGAGATGCTCGGGTCCGACTTTGCTGGCCATCGTGCGCTGGACGATTTCGGGCCAAGGCGAGGAGCTGATGTGAGATGGGAAGAGAGGAAAAGAGCAGGCTTGGAGGAAAACGGCTGTGAAGGGGCAGGCCCCGGCAAGAGGCCGATCGCACAAGAACCTTGATTTGGGGATACAGAAACGAAGATGATTTTGTACACAGATGCAACTTGGCGGCATTCTGCAGGGGACTGTAGTCAATTGGGACTCCCTGACAGATACAGAACTGAGAACAGTTGTACTATAGTGGAGAAGGAGAAGGAGGATGATGATGATGATGATATTGGATTTATATCCCGCCCCTCACTCAGAGTCTCAGAGCGGCTAACAATCTCCTTCCCTTCCCCTCCTCACAACAGACGCCCTGTGAGGTAGGCGGGGCCGAGAGAGCTCTGAGAGAAACTGCTCTTGAGAGAACAGCTCTGAGGGAACTGGGGCTGACCCAAGGCCACCCAGCTGGCTGCATGTGGAGGAGTGGGGAATCAAACCCGGTTCTCCCAGATTAGAGTCCGCGCTCCTAACCCCTACACCAAACTGGCTCTCAGAGTGCTGGACTAGTATTTGGAAGGACCAGGTTCGAATCCCCACTCATGCCGTGGAAGCTCACTGGGCGACCTTGGGCCAGTCCAGTAGCACCTTAGAGCCCAACAAAAGTTTCAGGCTAAAAGCTTTCGAGAGTCAAAGCTGCCTTCGTCGGATGCGAGCTGACTCTCAAACGCTCATGCCCTGAAACTCTAAAGAACAGAAGAAGAGCCCTTCTGGATTAGAGATGTGAAGGCCCGGGAAAATTCGGGGGAAAAACGGTTTCCCCCCGTTTTTTTCCTGAAGCCTTTTTTGTTTTTTTTTCCCGAAAAATTGGAAAAATTGAAAAAAGAAAAGAAATTGATTATGGAACATTTTATTTTAACATGATGAATAAAATACTTTAAGGAGGTTCAGATATTTCCGAAATCATTTCTAAAAAATATGTATGGTATCAGATTGATCTAATTTCTGTGCACTGAGGACAAGCAAGTCCTAGGTTACAAATTGAACTCTCCAATGCAAGAACAAGGCGCATTTCTTCCTTTAGGGGGTGCTATTGTCACAAGAAAAGAAAAAGGCTTCAGTTTTGTTTTTGCATGTGGGTGGGTATTCTGTTTGTAATAATTGTTTGGATACACTAGATTTTTAATATGCTAGTTGTGATAATTTCATGCCAAGTAAAAATGTCCATAGTCATATGGATCACTGCCTTGTCGTGGCGAGGGGGCTTGCGCAGTTCAATGAAGCTGTGGGCTATGCCGTGAAGGGCCACCCAAGACGGACAGGCCACAGCAGAGAACTCAGACCAAGCGTGATCCACCTGGAGAAGGAAATGGCAACCCACTCCAGTATTTTTGCCAAGAAAACCCCATGGACAGTATCAAAAGGCTAAAAGATATGACGCCGGAAGATGAGCCCCTCAGGTCGGAAGGTGTCCAATATGCTACTGAGGAAGAGCAGAGGACAAGTACAAGTAACCCCAGAAAGAGTGAAGCGGCTGGGCCAAAGCCGAAAGGACCCTCAGTTGTGGATGTGTCTGATGGTGAAAGGAAAGTCCAATGCTGCAAAGAACAATACTACATAGGAACCTGGAATGTAAGATCTATGAATCAAGGTAAGCTTGACGTGGTCAAAAATGAGATGGCAAGACTGAACATCGATATCCTAGGAATCAGTGAACTAAAGTGGACAGGAATGGGCGAATTTAACTCAGAAGACCATTATATCTACTACTGTGGCCAGGAATCTCGTAGAAAAAATGGTGTGGCCTTTATAGTCAACAAGAGAGTGCAAAAGGCAGTACTGGGATACAATCTCAAAAATGACAGAATGATTTCTGTCCGATTCCAAGGCAAACCATTCAACATCACAGTAATCCAAGTCTATGCCCCAACCACTGATGCAGAAGAGGCTGAAGTGGACCGGTTCTATGAAGACCTACAACACCTCATAGAACTAACACCAAAAAATGATGTCCTCATCATCATAGGGGACTGGAATGCTAAAGTAGGAAGTCAAAAGGTAACTGGAATAACAGACAAGTTTGGCCTTGGAAAGCAAAATGAAGCAGGGCAAAGGTTAACAGAGTTTTGTCAAGAGAACACACTGGTCATAGCGAACACCCTTTTCCAACAACCTAAGAGGCGACTCTACACATGGACATCACCAGATGGGCAACACCGAAATCAGATTGACTATATAATTTGCAGTCAAAGATGGAGAAGCTCTATCCAGTCAGTAAAAACAAGACCTGGAGCTGACTGTGGTTCAGATCATGAGCTACTCATTGCAAAATTCAGACTTAAACTGAAGAAAATTGGGAAAACCACGAGGCCATTCAGGTTTGACCTAGATCGCATCCCTGATGAATATACAGTAGAGGTGAAGAATAGATTCAAGGGTCTGGATTTGATAGATAGAGTGCCTGAAGAACTATGGACAGAGGTTCGTGACATCGTACAGGAGGCAGCAATCACCACCATACCAAAGAAAAAGAAATGCAAGAAAGCAAAATGGCTTTCTGATGAGGCTTTACAAATAGCAGAGGAAAGAAGGAAAGCGAAAGGCAAAGGCGAAAAGGAAAGATTTACCCAACTGAACGCAGATTTCCAGAGAACAGCAAGGAGAGATAAGGAGGCCTTCCTGAATGAACAGTGCAAAGTAATAGAAGAAAACAATAGAATGGGAAGGACTAGAGATCTCTTCAAGAAAATTGGAGAAATCAAGGGAGCGTTCCATGCAAAGCTGGCCATGATAAAGGACAAAAACGGTAGGGACCTAACAGAAGCAGAAGAGATTAGGAAAAGATGGCAAGAATACACAGAAGAACTATACAAGAAAGACCTCAATGTCCTTGACAAACACGACGGTATAATCACTGACCTTGAGCCAGACATCCTGGAATGTGAAGTTAAATGGGCCTTAGAAAGCATTGCTAACAACAAAGCTAGTGGAGGTGATGGTATTCCAGCTGAGCTATTCAAAGTCTTAGAAGATGATGCTGTTAAAGTGCTGCACTCCATTTGCCAGCAAATTTGGAAAACGCAACAGTGGCCACAGGATTGGAAAAGATCAGTATACATTCCAATCCCAAAGAAGGGCAATGCCAAGGAATGTTCAAACTATCGCACAATTGCACTCATATCACACGCTAGCAAGGTCATGCTCAAGATCCTACAAGCTAGGCTTCAACAGTACGTGGATAGAGAACTACCAGAAGTACAAGCTGGGTTTCGAAGAGGTAGAGGAACGAGAGATCATATTGCCAACATTCGCTGGATTATGGAGAAAGCAAGAGAGTACCAGAAAAATATCTACTTCTGCTTCATTGACTATGCTAAAGCCTTTGACTGTGTGGATCACAACAAACTATGGCAGGTCCTTAAAGAGATGGGAGTACCAGACCACCTCACATGTCTCTTGAGAAACCTGTATAAGGGCCAAGAAGCGACAGTTAGAACCGGATACGGAACAACTGATTGGTTCAGCATAGGAAAAGGAGTACGACAAGGATGTATACTGTCACCTTGCTTATTTAATATATATGCAGAGTACATCATGCGAAATGCTGGCCTGGATGAATCACAAGCGGGAATTAAGATTGCTGGGGAAAAGATCAACAACCTCAGATATGCAGATGATACCACTCTAATGGCTGAAAGTGAAAAGGATCTAAAGAGCCTCTTGCTCAGAGTAAAAGAGGAGAGCGCAAAAGTGGGCTTGAAGCTCAACATCAAAAAAACTAAGATCATGGCATCCGGCCCCATCACTCCTTGGCAAATAGAAGGGGAAGTCGTGGAAGTAGTGACAGACTTCACGTTCCTGGGATCCCAGATCACCGCAGACTGTGACTGCAGCCATGAAATTAAAAGACGCCTGCTCCTTGGGAGGAAAGCGATGGCGAACCTAAACAGCATGATAAAAAGTAGAGACATCACCCTGCCAACAAAAGTCCGCATGGTCAAAGCAATGGTATTCCCAGTAGTCATGTATGGCTGCGAGAGCTGGACTATAAGGCAGGCCGAGCGCCGAAGAATAGATTCTTTTGAACTATGGTGCTGGAGGAGACTCTTGAGAGTCCCTTGGACTGCAAGAAGAACAAATCAGTCAATCCTCAAAGAAATCAACCCTGACTGTTCCCTGGAAGGCCAGATAATGAAACTGAAGCTCAAATACTTTGGCCATCAAATGAGAAGGGAGCACTCACTGGAAAAGACCCTGATGCTGGGAAAGATTGAAGGTCAAAGAAGACGGGGACGGCAAAGGATGAGATGGTTAGACAGTGTCATTGATGCAACGAACATGAAGTTGAGCCAACTTCAGAGGACGGCGGAAGACCGGAGGGCCTGGCGAGAGTTCGTCCATGGGGTCGCGAAGAGTCGGACTCGACTGTGCGACTGAACAACAACAACAACAAAAAAAGTAGCAGAATGACTTTCAATCTGGAAAAGAAAAAAAGAAGTGCTAATGTAGCATTTTTTTCAATTTTTTTCTGGAAATGTTGCATTTCCATTCTGGATCAGAAACAGTGGTTCATGTAGTCCAGCATCCTGTCTCACACAGTGGCCAGCCAGTTCCTCTAAATGGCCAACAACAGGGCATACAGGCAGCCCTGACCTGGATAGCCCAGGCAAGCCTGATCCCGTTCGACCTCAAATGCTAAGCGGGGTCGATTCTGGATGGGAGACCTCCTTGGAATACCAGCGGTGGGAGGCGGGGGCAGGCTTTATTCAGCCAACCCTCTGAATATCCTCCAGGCCCCCAGTAGGGCTCAGTCACCAGAGGTCACTGTGACTTCCAGGTGTACACACTCACAAGCACACACACACTCACAAGCACACACACACTCACAAGCACACACACACGAAAAATACCAAACCAAAAAAAAACAAAACCCAGTGCATAGAGACTGAGACCTTCCACTGATGTTGCCTCCTGGCTCTGGGATCCAGAGGTTGAGTGCCTCTGAACATGGAGTTTCCCCTTAGCCACCATGGCTAGTAGCCACTGACAGACCTATCCTCCATTAATCTCATCCCCTTTTAAAGCTGTATATTCCTGTGTCCCCCACAATATCTTCTGGCAGCGAATCCCTCTCTGTGTAAAGGAGTATTGCCTTTTGTCCGTCCTGAACCTACTGCCCATCAGCTTCACCGGAAGCCCTTGAGTTCTAGTCTCTGGGGAGAGGGAGAAAAGGTTCTCTTGGTCAAACTCTCTCTACCCCATGCAGAATCTTACAATCCTCTATCATGTCGTCGTCTCTTTCCTGATCTGAAAAGTCCCAGGCTCTTCTGCCTTTCCTCAGAGGAGACCTGCTCCAACCCCCTAATCATCTTGGTTGCCCTCCTCTGGACCTGTCGGTCTCTGAAGTGCTACTGGACTCGAATCTGTTTTACTGCAGACCAACACGGGTACCCTCTGGAATGATCTTTTTGGGCCAGTCATACTCTCTCAGCCTAACCCACACCTCACAGGGTTGTTGTGGGAATAAAAGAGAAGAGTGACGTAAGCTGCTTTGGGTCCCCATTGCAGAGAAAGGGTGGGGTATAAACACATTTAATTAATTAATGACGTCTGCACAATGGGTTTGACGTGGCCCACGCTTCACACTTTAAATATTTTTTTATTTAATCTAGAATTCTGCACAGTCAGGTAAACAAAAAACTAGCACCAGAACCATAGTACACACCAGTGTTCCCTCTAAGACGAGTTAAGTGTGAGCCAGCTCACAGTTTTTTAGCCTCCAGCTCACAGACTTTCGTCTCCACTCAGGAAGGAGGGCTCCAGAGCAAACTGGAGCAGCAGCCAAATCGCTCAGTTCACAACTTTCATCCCAGTCGCTCACAAAGTAGGATTTTTGCTCACAGGACTCCACGGCTAAGAGGGAGCATTGGTACACACTTCTGCTTAAAAAAAAATCTCGGCTAGACAGCTGCAAATTTGTGAATGGCAACATAATCCTACTCTCCCCTCTGGAGGGGTCAATGCCGCCATAAGAATTTGTATGGACTGCGGCACCCCTTCCCCCAGCCCCAGTCTCTGTAACCTGCACCACCACAATCCAGGGATCGTCCTACCGGTTTCTGATATCCTGTTGGTCTGCTTTTGCAAGTTTCTCTTCCTTGCCTGTAAAATCTGTTCCGTGGCAACATCTGACCTATCGTACTTTACAGGTGAGAAATACGTGGCTTTATTCTAACCAGTGGCTGCTTAAAAAAAATAATCCAGGAAGAGAGATTTCCTCCTCCAGTTCTGCAAACAATTAGATCCTGGAACAAGAAGCCAGTTCCTAGTATTACGGAGCAAATCAGAAGAATATCCCAATGTGGGGGGCTGTTGGCTATAACATGATTATCATTATTTGCTTAATCATGTTTTTAAAAAGAGAAGAACATGTGTAAAAGCCCCTGGTACAAACTGTGTAGAGACCAACATTCAAATCCCTGCTTGCTCATAGCATTTCTCAGCTGGCTTTGAGCAAGGGACAAGTTTTGGATTAAGACCGCTTCACAGGGCTGTTGTGGAAATAATTTGGAGCTAGTTCACGCATTTGGCTCTCAGCCGCTTAGCAGAAGGGTGGGATAGAAATGTGATGGATAAAAACTGACACACAGAGACCAGGGAGGATTGTGAGGCACTCCAAAGGGATCTATTGAGGATGGGTGAGTGGGCGTCAACATGGCCAATGGGGTTCAGTATGGCCAAGTGCAAAGTGATGCACATTGGAGCAAAAAATCCTAACTATAAATAGACGTTGATGGGGTCCAAACTGGCAGAGACTGACCAAGAGAGGGATCTTGGAGTCGTAGTAGATAACGCACTGAAAATGTCGAGACAGTGTGCCACTGCAATAAAAAAAGGCCAATGCTATGCAGGAGATTATTAGGAAGGGAACTGAAAACAAATCAGCCAGTATCATAATGGCCCTGTATAAATCAATGGTGCAACCTCAGGTCACCACACCTCAAAAAGGATATTATAGCATCGGAAAAAGTGCCGTAAAGGGCAACTAGAACGATAAAAGGGTTGGAACACTTTCCCTATGAAGAAAGGTTAAAATGCTTGGGGCTCTTTAGCTTGGAGAAACAACGGCTGAGGGGGTGACATGATCGAGGTTTATAAGATTATGCATGGGATAGAGCAGGTAGAGAAAGAAGTACTTTTCTCCCTTTCTCATTATACAAGAACTCGTGGGCACTCCATGAAATTGCTGATCAGTCAGGTTAGAACAGATAAAAGGAAGTACTTCTCCACCCAAAGAGTGGTTCACACATGGAATTCACTGCCACAGGAGGTGATGGCGGCTACAAGCATGGACGGCTTCAAGAGAGAATTAGATAAAATTATGGAGCAAAGGTCCATCAGCGGCTATTAGCCACAAAGCCTAGATAGGAACTCTCAGTCTGGGGCAAGTGATGCTCTGTATTCTTGGTGCTGGGGGGGCAACAGTGGGAGGGCTTCTAGTTTCCTGGCCCCACTGCTGGACCTCCTGATGGCACCTGGTATTTCTGGCCACTGTGTGACACAGAGTGCTGGACTAGATGGACCATTGGCCTGATCCAACATTGGCTTCTCTTATGTTCTTATGACCAGCAGGGAGATAAGAGACCTATACTTCATTAAATGTCGTCCCCCCCAGCCCCGGAAAAATTTAGAACTTCGGGGCTGCAAAGAGGAGAGAACAAAGGGAGAGAGACATCTGGCTGGCCAAAACTTTGCAGGAGGGTTGGTTGGAGCCTGGACAGTGTGGGGAAGGGGTTACAGAGAATATTTGCCTGGCAGATTGCGACAACTCTCAGCAATCCGGCTGGAAACAGGGTGCTGGGCTAGGTTTCAACCATCAGGCCAAATGCAAGGAAAGAAAGAGGAGAGAAGCACTGTGTAATTTGCCTAATGTTGCCAACTCCAGGATGGGAAATTTCTGGATATTTGAAGAAGAAGAGATTGGATTTATACCCCGACCTTCATTACCCAAAGGAGTCTCAGAGCAGCCTACAATCGCCTTCCTGTCCTCTCCCCATGACAGACACCCTGTGAGATAGGTGGGGCTGAAAGAGCTCTCTCAAGAACTGCTCTGAGAGAACTTGTGACTGACCCAAGGTCACCCAGCAGCTGCATGTGGAGGATTGGGGAATCAAACCCGGTTTTCCCAGATTAGAGTCCACGCTCTTAACCACTACATCAAACTGGCTTGGGGATGAAGCTTGGGAACTGTGAGATTCGGGGAGGGCGAGGGACCCCAGTGGGGTATAAAGCCATAGAGTCCACCCTCTGAAGCAGCCATTTTCTCCAGGAGAGCTGGTCCGTGTCATCTGGAGATCAGTTGCAATTTCATAAGATCTCCAGGCGCCACCTGGAAATTGGCAACCCTAAATCTGCCCCGCCCCTAAACTACTCACCGCTAGATCAAGGATGGCATCCTCAGCTAAAGCCCACACTGACCATGGGATGCCAGCCTCCCATATCGTAGCATTTCGGCTCACTTGCCCAGGGTGGGGCTCAGCGAAAAGACCCTTCCCCGGACGCTTCTGCCCCCTCCCCTCCAAGAGACTCCAGCCCGGAGCGAAAGATGCTCAGCAGACGACGAGGGAAACTCTCCCCCTGCATCCCAGGTTGCCCCTAGCAACAGAATCGCCAGCACTCACCCACCGCCTTGAGAACCTGGACCAGGAGAGCCTCGCCGGAAGCGCGGTGTCTGCGTGGCAAGGAGGCGGGGCAGGAAGACGGATGTTTACCTTGGTGGGTGCGGTGGCTGCTGGGAATTGTAGTCTCGGCGTGTTTGCAAACTCCCATAGGAAAGGGGCGGTGGCGAGGGGGTTTTGCATGCTCTCTCCAACTGGTGTGTTTAATATAAACGACACGATGCATTTGGATGTGATCCGCATCAACGTTAACGGGAAGCTTAATACAGGAGTAGCTGATTCGACCCTTTCAAGTTGGTCCGAGAAAATCGCCGTCTTTCTTTCTTATTTATATCCTGATCTTTCTCCCCGGTTGGGACTCAGAGCAGCTTAGAACGTCGTTTCTCACAACAACCCTGTGAGGTTGACCAGCCTTAGAGTGTGTGACAGACCCAAAGGTCACCAAGCAGGCTTCGCCGGTAGAAGTGGACATTCGAACCCAGGCCTCCCAGGATACTCTCCCAACACTCTATCCACTATGCTGCTACGTCAGCTTCTTCTGTTATTACACCAGAACTTCGGTTTGAGGTTGCCAGGTCCTCCCTGGCCACTGGTGTGGACGGGCATACGGTTGCCGGTTGCAGGTTGGGAATTCCTCGAGATTTGGGGATGGAGCCTGGGGAGGACGGGGACCTCAGTGGGGCACAATGCCATAGAGCCCGCCCTCCAAAGCATCCATTTTCTCCAGGGGAACTGATCTCTGTAGTCCGGAGATGAGTTTAATTCCAGGGGATCCGATCCCCAGGTCCCACCTGGAGGCTGGCATCCCTAGTTTAGGTTCATGCTTCTTCCCGAATGGCAACTATTTCATAAGTCCTAATATATAATGCCTGGTGCAGCACAGTATTGGACTATGTGTGGTGAGATCCGGGTTCGAATCCCCACTGTGAAGTTCACTGGTGTACAGCGTTCCCTCTAAGCTGAGTTAGTGTGAGCTAGCTCACAGTTTTTTAGCCTCTGGCTCACACATTTTTGTCTTAGCTCAGGAAGGAGGGCTCCAGAGCAAACTAACTGATGCAGCAGCCAAATCCCTCACTCACAACTTTCATGCCAGTCGCTCACAAAATAGAATTTTTGCTCACAAGACTCCACAGCTTAGAGGGAGCATCTGCCAACCTAACCTGCCTCACAGGGTTGTTGTGAAGAGAAGGAGGAGAACTAGGCACGAGGTCCTCAACTCCTTTGTTGTGTACTAGCTGAACCATACACGCGGTCGGGCTGCCGTGTGGCCCAACAAACTAGCGAAGCTTCGCTACCAGGGACAATAGAGTCCTAGGATCCTAAAACCTGCCAACCGGTGAGTAGGGATTCTAAAGAGAACCTATAAGATTGTAACTCTTGTATATAGCCTATCATGGGTGTGGGTGTGTGTAATGGGTGTGGTTGTAAACGGACATATAGGCAGCCTGCGGGCTAGCTACCGTATCTCTTTCCCCCCCTGAAATCACTTAAGTATGAGCTGAAATCACTCAACGATGTGTCAGTCTCAGTACTTGATATCCTTGAAGAAAGGGGGCTGGTGGGGGGAAGCTCTAGTATCCAAGAAATCAGGGGTCATTTCGTAGAAAAAGAGCTAGGGGAACTCATTAGCATAACTCATTAGCATATGCCACACCCCCTGACATCAGGGGCCCGGCGGTGGACCTGCAAGGCCGGTGGGAGTGCAAGGAAGCCCCGCCAAGGCCCTCCCTGGCCCCAGGCAGGCAGGGGTGGGGAGAGGCAGGGAGGAAGCAACTTACCCTCCCTCTTCTCCTGCCTCCTCCTGGCTGAATGAGGGCTGGAAGTGGGGCGGCTGGAAGCAGGGGGCGGGGCTTCATCGTGTGCCCCGCCCCCGCACTTCACCCGGGGGAACTGCGATCCCCCCGAAATGACCTCTGCAAGAAATCTACATTTTCATTTTGCAGGTATGGAGAAGGGCTGTGGCTCAGTGGCAGAGCGTCCGTTTTGCGTGCAGAAGATCCCAGGTTCAATCCCAGACACCTCCTGTTAAAAGGATCAGGTAGCAGGGGGTATGAAAGGCCTTGACCCGAAAGTATAGATCTGCTGCCAGTCAGAGAACCCCCAATGGACCCACCGTGGAAGGCAAGTTCCTGCTGGTCACTGATCCGTATAGAACCTGCTTGAAACACCAGCATTCCAACCCGTCTATTGTTGCTAGCGGAGAGTCCTAATATTGACTTTGCTTTGCAAACCTCAGCTATGAGCCTAAAGGGTGGTAATAAGAACAGCCCGGGCATGGGAGGGAGGTCACGTACACCTTATTTTGCAAATCCATGATTTATAGGACTGTTTTGATGGGATCAGATGTGGGGACGTCTCTGTTATAATTTAGCAGAGGACCCAGAGAAACAGTGCTGGGGTCCTGGTAATGGCTGGGGTCTGGAGCAATGCCCCCTCTAAGCCGTGGAGTCTTGTGAGCAAAATTTCTACTTGGTGAGCTGCTGGAATTAAAGCTGTGAGTGAGCGATTGGGCTGCTGCATCAATTAGTGTGCTCTGGAGCCATCCGTCCTGAGCTAAGGCAGAACTCTGTGAGCCGGAGGCTAAAAGACTGTGAGCTGGATCACACTCACTCAGCTTAGAGGGAACACTGGTCTGGAGGTTTTCTGGCACTACAACCCATCTCCACACAATAGAGATCAGTTCTCCTGAGGAAATGGCAGCTTTGGATGCTGGACTGTAAAGGATTATGGTCCCACTGATGCCCCTCCCCTCCCCTGGCTCCGCCCCCAAATCTCCGGAATTTCCTGAGCCAAAGTTGCCAATCATAGTCAATGTTCCCTTTTTATCAAAAGCTGCTGCCAGATTTTTCACAGTCTAGGCGGTGACTAAATGTGACCAGTGACTCAACGGGATTTCAGTTCCTGTGGATTTTTGAAGTGGAGAAAATGCGGGTTAAATGGAGATGTGTGTTTAAAATCGGGGCTACTCCACACTGCAGACAAGCCTCAGGTAGGCCTCTGCCAGCCCAGACCGCTGCCTTTCTGGCCGCTTTTTCTCACTGGCTTTGCTTTTCTTGTTTGTTTTGCTTGACAATTCAGATATAAAAACCATAACAACAAAACACATGTCAAAAGTTACAGTCCACCTTCTAAAGCAGTCATTTTCTCCAGGGAAACTGATCTCTGTCACCTGGAGACTAGTTGTAATTCCATTCTGGGAGGTCTCCAGCCACCGCCTGGGAGGTTGATAACCCTACCTGCCACCTTCACCACTCTTGCATTAAAAACCATTAACACTTTAAACAAAAAATCTGTCTGGTTAATTGAGGTCACCTTTTTCACCAATAGGGGTGGTTTTTTTTGAAAAAGTGGTGCCGGAACTCTCAAGAGGGAAATGAACTTTTCAGTCTGTTTACTTGTAATGTATCCAGTCCTGACAAGTCCAGACATGTCCGGACAAGTCCAGAGACAAACAGTCCTGGCAAGTCCGGACAAGCCCAGACAAGTCCAGAGACAAACGTAGAGCTTCGCTCCAAGAGACAATGGACTATGTGGATCCTAGCCCGCTCCAATCAGGGGGCTGGGTTCCTGGCTGAGAGCCAATGGGACTCTCGGCCACTGTAAATAACCAATTGGGAAGTGGGGGTGTGTTTTGGGTGGCGGTTTCTCAGGGAATATAAGCTGGCCTGCGAGCCGGCCAAAATCGTCTTGTTCCTGATCGAATAATGTACGCTTTGCTGAAATCACTCTCCGTCTGCGTACTTTTCATTACTGAAAACTCACGAACTTCTAAACATTTTTTTACAAGCTTTGTCACAGAGGTTCTGGAACTCCGTTCTGGCGTGTTCCCCCAGGAAAAAAAAAGCCCTGGGTTTTTAATTGCTTCGGCTAACCGTCTGATGAAAGGTTGCAGCCCTCTTTACAATTCTTAGTCAGAACTGTTAAAGAGTGGGTTTCATGGACGGCAGGAGCCAGGGTTCATTTCGTAGAAAAAGAGGTGCAGGAACTCATTAGCATAACTCATGAGGATAATTTATTTGCATATGCCACACCCCCTGATATCACCGGAAGCGTGTCAGAAGGCAACACCCACTGCAACTTACCTGGCTGCTTCTTGCTCCTCATGGCCCGGGGCTGCTGGGAGCAGGGGGCGGGGCTTGTTGCATGTCCTGCCGGAGCACTTTACCGCCGGAGCTCTGCTCCTGTGCGCTCCTGCAGGAAATGACCCCTGGCAGGAGCAAGTCTCAGCGATCAGTTCAACTTTATTTGTGATTTCAGCAAGAGCAAGAGAAACCTCCAGAGCCTCAGCTCTGTTTAAATAGCATGCAGTTGCCACACCCAAACACACCCCACTCCCAATGATGGGCAGTTTACATAACATTACTACTTGATTGGTTACTCCCAGGGTCCAGGTAGGCTATTGTTCTTGTGCCCCAAGCTCAGCCAGTCTTTGGTGTGACTGACCTGGAATGATTTAGTCCCAATACATAACAAGAACCCTTCGAGGTGGACTCTCGATAGTTCCGTCTTTTCAGCCCCCACCTGTCTGAGATGACCAAAGAACTACAGAGCAGATGAAGTCACGTTTTTTTCAAGCCAAACCTTTCCACCGCAATGCACACTGGTTTCAGAGCCCTCACGAAACCACAATTCCCAGAATCCTTTTGGGGTGGGAAGCCACGACCAATCGAACTAGTTTGCTTTGACACGCACCACCTCTGTCCAAGGGGTCACAGTCGTTCTTGGCTGTCCCACTCTTGGTCTAAGAACTCCAAACAAATTCACACACCCACTTTGGACAGGGGTCAGAACATGGTTTTATTAGGCAACAGTTTTCATGGTGGGGTTATGACGGGGGCGGGGGTCCTAAACAGAGGGGAGTCCTATTCCTTCATGGGATTTCTGGTGGGGTTATCACAGGGGATCCTAAAAAGCGGGGGGGGGGTCTTGTTCCTTCATGGTCCCTTCCACAAAGGTCTTTCTGGTCTAAGAATGCGCTGGTGCCATTCCAAAATGGCTCTTGGAAGGGGAGGGGGCGTCTACTTGGTATGAATATTCTCCACCGTCCATTTCAGTTTCTGTTGCTCAGTTCTCGAGAAAGTTGGCAAAGGCCGCAGAGCGGGCAGCAAGACATGACCATCCAGTCGTCGCAAATAGTGCCCTGGAAGGGGGGGGGGAACAAAAGTCGAGGTAAGCAAGACAATGTGGGCCAGTGGACAGAGAAGACGAAGCTCAACAAAATAGTTCTGTGACCCCTTAAAGCAGGGGTCCCTAACCTTTTTTAGCCCCCGAACACCTTTGGAATTCTGACACAGCACTGGACGCAGCCACAAAATGGCTGCCACATAGGGTTGTCATCTCCCTGGCTGGTAAGGGGCTCCCCCGATTTTGGGGCCCCCAATACACTGACAACCAGCTGGCCAGCAGGGGAAGCCCAACCCCCGCTGATGCGATGACGTCACCGGTAGTGATGTCATCATGCCGGGGCTGACGCATGGCGACGCTCTAGCATTCAGGGGGAAACTCCATGGTTACCATAGAGTTTTTGTCCTGAACGCTAGAGCGTCGCCGTGTGACACCCCAGGGTGATGACATCACTTCCGGTGACACCATCATGCCACACGCACAAAGTGTGCGTGGCGGAAACATCCCAAGGAGGAGCCGGGAGACCCTCGCTGCAGGAAAGGGAAGACCTGGCAACTGTACTGCCACAGGAGGCAGAGCTGGTCACAAAATGGTTGCTGCAGCTTACCTTCAGTTACATTGTGAAGAGCCATGTGCTGCCAGAACAACATTTCTTTAAAAAAAAAAAAATCTGCATAGCCAATCAAATCCCTAATGGCCAATCAGAAGTCTTTCTGGGCAAAAGCCCCGCCCACGGGCACCACGTTGAGGACCCCTGCCTTAAAGGCGAACCGATGAATGATGGCACGGGCTAGCCAGTGGAACTTTATGCTGAAACCAGTCCCTCGACAGGAATTTCAGTCCCTGCCTTCGCATTCCTGTTGCAGCAAAACCAAAAAGTTATTTTAAAAGGGATTTGATGCCAAGGACTGAAATACCCGTCGAGCTATTGGTTTAAACAGGCCGGGCCTTGGAATGTTAGCTGAAGGGCTGTTTCATTAATGAATGAATCAATTCCCACTGGTCTCATCCTCACATGCAGAGCATCACAGACTCAAAACCTTTCATAGACTTTTAATATCAGTTCATGCACGATGCCTGTCACTGGAATAGGGTTGCCAGGCGCTCCCTGGCCACCAGCGCGGGATGGGGGGTAGACCAGAGCGAGGTTGGGAACCCCCTGGAGATGTGGGGATAAAACCTGGGGAGGACAGGGACCTCAGTGGGGTGCGATGCCACGGCATCCACCCTTCAAAGCATCCATTTCCTCCAGGAGAACTGATCTCTGGAGTCTGGAGAGGAGCTATAATTCTGGGGGATCCCCAGGTCCCACCTGGAGGCTGGCATCCCTGCACTGGAACCATCTCACACATCTGGCAGGCAGTGTTCCCTCTAAGCTGAGTGAGTGTGAGCCAGCTCACAGTTTTTTAGCCTCCGGCTCACACATTTTTGTCTTCGCTCCGGAAGGACGGCGGCGGAGCAAAGTAATGCATGCAGTCGCCAAATGGCTCGCTCCCAACTCTAATGCCAGTAGCTCACAAAGTATTTATTTATTTATTTATTTCGATTTCTATCCCGCCTTGCCTGCACAAGCAAGTAGAAGTTTGGTTCACGAGACTCCACAGCTTAGAGGGATCATTGCTAGCAGGGCATCACTGAGTGACGCGTGCACACGTGTGCATCAGCCCCAAAGATCCCAGTGGGCCAGAACAAAACAGCGATCTGGCCTGCTCTTCCCCCTTTAACGACATAAAAGCGCAGAGTCCAAAAGCCGAAGCTGTTAGCAGCTTGGAGAAAATGCATCATCACCTGCCATTGTTGTGTTCATATTAGGACCAGTGGCGGACCTGCATTTTTGGGACCCTGAAACCTGAAATGTTCTGGGGGGCCCTTCGCAACCAGCCACAAGAGGGCAACATCCAACAAGGTCCAAAGGGCATGATTCCGATGTCTATTTATGGTTCTCCTTGGCTAAGGGCTGGGCTGTAGGACTATTAAGCCATGCACCAGCGAAGGATTCGTGGATCCAGCTGCCAAAATGTAGGCTATGAATAGATTCTGGCGAGCTTGGCGAGCCCCTACAGCTGGGGGTTTGGGTGCTGCAAGCCCCTGAGAAAATTTTGAAATGTGACCCATTCCAGGGACATTGTGAGGCCATATGAAACGGGTATCAGAGCATATTCTAAGGTCAATATTAAGTACTTTGACCCATTGGTTTAGGATTCTGTCACTAAAATAGCTTTATTTTAATATAGTAATGAACACTTAAAAAAACCCTCCTATTTTGTTGAAAAAATTCACTCATTAAAAAAAAAAAGTTGCTTCTGGGCTCCTCCAGTATTTGGAGCCCTGAAGCTTAAGCTCCACTAATGTCATAACAGATCCATCCCTGATTAGGACACTGTGAAAGATGCAGCTATAAACTGGTAAATTGAGCTGCGGTGGCTCAAGTGGTTAAGACACTGAACTGCAGGCTGTGGAAGGTCGGTAGTTCAGCAGTTCGAGACACGAGTGTGCCGCCTGACGGAGTGAGCTCCCGTCTCTAGTTCCAGCTCCTGCCAACCTAGCAGTTCGAAAGCAAGAAATTGCAAGTAGATAAATAGGTACCACTTCAGTGGGAAGGTAACAGCGTTCTGTGCGCCTTGGTGTTTAGTCCTGCCAGCCACATGACCACGGAAACGTCTTCGGACAGCGCTGGCTCTTCGGCTTTGAAACGGAGATGAGCACCGCAACCCTAGAGTCGGATTCGACTGGGTTTTGAGCAAAGGAACCTTTACCTTAAATTGACAGACCTGATCTGCCTTCATCTATGACAGGGGGAAAAAACCCCTATAAGGAAGACCCCTTCCTTTAACAACAAGCCTTGAACAACTGTGCCATAGGCAGGAATTCAACAGGCGTAGCTTCCCCTTACCATCCTGTTTCGCATCTCATGAAAAAAATCAGCAACAACTTCTGAGCCTATAGAAAATGTCACCAGAACATCTGAGGCCTTGCTTGGACTGCATCAGTGGCTTTTAGCCACAAGGTATAGATAGGGACTCTGGGGCAAGGGATGCTCGGTCTTCTTGGTGCTTGGGGGGGTCAACAGTGAGAGGCCTTCTAATGTCCTGGCCCCACTGGTGGACCTCCTGATGGCACTGGTATTTCTGGCCACTGTGTGACCCAGAGTGTTGGACTGGATGGGCCTTTGGCCTGATCCAACATTGGCGCCTCTTATGTTCTTATGACTGGCAAAGCAAACCCCATATGTATTTAACACTTGCTCCCCTCCAAAACGATTTCCCAGTTCCCATGTTTCACCTCAATGTGGTATTTCTCGCGGACACCGGTGCGCAGCGCGATCAGAGTGCCGGGCAGACAAGGGAGGCAGAAACACTGGCCGGCCTGCTCTGCCACCCGGCATGCCAGGATACAGGGCACAAAGGTGGCACAAAGACCTGTGGGGCGGCAAGAGGAGAACACGGCATGCAATCAAAGAATCTCGGGAGACTGTCTTGTTCAACTCCCCTTCCTATGCACCCCAATATCCACCTTTGGTGTAGCCAGTTTAGTGTAGCCAGTTTGGAGAGCCAGTCTGGTGAAGTGGTTAAGTGTGCGGACTCTAATCTGGGAGAACCGGGTTTGATTCCCCACTCCTCCACTTGCACCTGGCTGGATGACCTTGGGCAAGCTGTAGTTCTGATAAGAGTTGTTCTTGAAAAAGAGCCATTTCTGTCAAGAGCTCTCTCAGCCCCACCTACCTCACAGGGTGTCTGTTGCGGGGAGGGGAAGGGAAAGGAG